GTGTCGCTGTCCCTCTATATATCACAAATAACATGCTTTCAAACACTCTGATTATATGCTCTGCCTTGCCATAATCTGGATAATGTATAAAATGTAGTTCTGTAACGTGTTTAGGCTCGTAGATTAACCATAAAACCCAGTAAAAAAGTTACTCGGTGAGGCAAACAGTACGCCTGCCTCAAGGCAGAGGGCGCTAGTGAGCCCACAGATTCTTGCGCTACCTACAATCTTCTTCGTGCTTGTTTATATTTCCTTTACAATCCGCCTTATCAAAATGGAAGATTACATTTCCAAGCTGAGAAAATTCGCAAATCTGGACTTTCAATCAAAACATTTTTGACAGTCTGGACATTTTTGTCCAGAAGGATCTTCTTTATTGAAAACATTTGTTTTAATATTGGATTCGAACGGTAAAAGGGTTTGTAATACATACCAGCTGACAAATGGATTTCGTGTACAAGTAAAGGTAAGACTATAAACTTTTATTATTTCTAGTTAGAAATAAGCTCAATTGGAATAAATTGTAACCTCAAATTAAATATGGGTCACATTTGTGTGAAGAATACTGATATGAGATATAAAACATAACGCATTGTCTGTTAACAGACAATTTGTCAACGATTCATTTGTATTTGTAAATCTGACAGTGCCTCACCAGCTGTCAACCTCACCGCACGTCACTGGTGATGAGACATTATACTGTAGTGTCAGCTTGATTCAGACCTTAAAAACATGTTTGATTCTATTGACTTTACTAAGGATTTTTAAAGATGTTGAGTGTCCAGCTTCCCAAAACGTATGTGCATTAAATTAAAACTCTTTGCTCTGTCCTTTTAGGTTCTCCATACTATGACAATGTCAGGCCCCTCTGCTACAGCGACTCAGACGCAGTACTCTTATGCTTTGATATCAGCCGACCAGACACAGTAGACAGTGCACTGAAGAAGGTATGGCCAGCTGCAATATGAGCATGACAGGACAACAACACCAGTGTTATGGCCTCATTTTAGACCACGTCTACATAAGCTATATGAATTTTGTAGTTTGTAGGTCGTTTTTACTGAGAGCTCAGTCCAAACAACATGAAAACAGTCAAATACTTCACTCACTGCCCTCTTTTTACTTGGCGTACAACATAACTGGACATCACAGCCAAGCTCTGGTAAGGAGTGGGACAGACAGCTGCCTGATAAAATTATCATTTCATAGTTGGGACAGAAATAGTTATAGACGACAGTAAGTTGTCATTTCCGTGCTACTGTGTTGTGGTGGTAAAATGGTTTTGGTTTGGTGATTTTTTTTTATTATTTTTTTTTTTATAACCATGATATTGTCTGTTAAAATCTGCACAAATCCAAATCTGTTGCAGGTTCAGCTATATTGGCATTTAAAATCAACAATCACACTGAAAGTTAGAGGTGACTAATAGTTAACTGTGTTGCCACAGAGTCCACGACCCTCACTTTGGTCAAGCAAAAAGCTCCGTTTATCCTGTACACACTGAAACAAACCAACATTCTGAGATATACACACTTGTTCTGGAGGTAATTTTGGAAAAACATATTTGCAGGGGAGAAAAAAGTTCTTTTTAGTCTGGACAGAGGACTCAAACAGAAAGAGATGCATTTACACATATAACTGGCTTAATGTGGATGTACTCTTACTCTAAGTAGTAACCTTCTTGATCAATCATTTGCCCTCCTCAATATTCAGTCGATATGTCATCCTTTTACCTAACAGTCTGGTGTCACCTCTGTTTATTTTATTTTGCAGTGGAAAGCAGAAATCCAGGACTTCTGCCCCAGCACACGGATCCTACTAATAGGCTGTAAAACAGACCTGCGCACGGATGTTGGTACACGCATGGAGCTGTCCAATCAGAAACAGACTCCCATCTCTCATGAACAGGTGTGTCCTATGAGTACTCTTTCCTCCTGTGTGTCTGTTTAGGCTTCTTTTTCCTATATAGATTGGGCACTAGTAGAATTTCCCCTTTGCTTTAATTTATTCTAGCTCAAACACAGTTTTACATGTATATACTTTACCCCTCACACTGTAGGGTTCATCTTTGGCCAAGCAGCTTGGGGCAGAGGCTTACCTGGAGTGCTCAGCCTTCACATCAGAGAAAAGCATCCACAGTGTTTTCCGTACCACAGCTCTGGCCTGCATGAACAAGCTCCAGCCTGCCGATAAACCCAGCCCTGTCGGCCGCCTCTCCAAGAGACTCCTCCACCTGCCCAGCAAGACAGAGCTTCTCTCTTCCACTTTCAGCAAGGACAAGACCAAGAGCTGCTCCATCATGTGAACACTGCTGTGGTCAGAAACGAGGACAAGTGAACTATATAGGTCAGCAGGATGTGCAAGGGGAAGAAAGCATTGATGTGGATTTCTCTCTCTCCTTTGCAGCATCCTCCTCAAACTCCCTATTGACCGCTTCAGAAAGACCACTACACTCTCTTTGCTTAACTGATGCTGAACTTTTGATCATGACTTATCACCAGCACACAGTGCAAAGTGAAAAATGTGTGATGTTGAAAATATTTCTGATCAATTAAATACTCCTGTACCAGGCACTTCAAGATGCAGACCTCTATTGTATGAAGGGAGTGGTTGTAAACACTTCATTTGAAAGCATTGCTCAGAAGAGACCCATTTGAAATTCTGATAATGGTGCCGTTTCTCATCCATCACTTGATCTGAATGTCTTTTTAAGGTCACTGTTTGGGCTGAGTGACAAGATGGAAGTGGTATCTACAGAATTCTTGGGGAAAAGATTCCCCAGCTGCCCCCTCATAGTGTGTCATTTGGAAATTAAAACTGACAGTGGACAAAAGGGGGGAGAAGGGATTTGGCAAGAAGAGTGTTCAGTTTCAAAGGCAAGTGGGAGGACAAACTTAGAGTACATCTGAAGGAGCGTAATATGACTCAGCACTCACATGAGTCACAAAATACTGTAGTCTAGGGTGGACATGCTGTGACAAAAATAAACAAAAACATGGCTGTATAAAGACTATCGGAACACATTTAGTCAGATTCCCTTTTGTTACCCATCACCACAACCGTCTTAATTGTTCAGTGTTATTGACCAAAAGCTTTTATTTTTGTGTTGTCACATTAACAGTGCACCATGTCACTACTTCCTGCCACTTAAAGAGCTGCTTAATAGATATTAGTTTTAATATATACACCAGCAAAAAATGAAATCATTCTTCTTGGTATTTAAAAAAACAATTTCTTTTTCACAAGCCAATCTGATTGGATTTATTTTAGTGAGCCTTTTATTTAGAATTCTCTGCCTGAAGAGAAATAGTCCTTAACTTTGGACTGTAAATGTGTCGTGTGGGCCTACCCGCCATGTTACAGTAGGTTCCAGGTGCTGGGTTAAAGTGTACAGATGCATCATTGCACTCCTGTATAACTGTCAGACTCATAATGAACATTTAAAAAAATGATCAAAATCAGCAGTACCAGAGACATCATATGTCCCATTTTTGATTAATCCACTTGTTGTTCTTCCTTGTCAAACCCTGGCACCTGCATTACTTGCAGTGCAACTCAAGCAGAGGGTTCAGGTGTGTTATTCTAATGGATCATGTAGCATTCAACCACTAGCCTTTTGTTATTTTCAAACTTGCATTCCCAGCAAATTCCCTTAAGATAATTCATTATATTTTCTACAGGTCCCCCAAAAGATGCTATAGTTACTGCTTTTAACATTTTTTTCACATATGTCCCAGTACTCCCCAAAGCCTATAAAAAATTTAATGTGATTTGATGTGCAAATTTGTGGCGTTATTAACAGTTATCATAGATGACCCTGCTGCCATTTTCAGCCTAGATATCTGCACAGTTGGCATTAGATTCCATGACTTGGTAGCAGGTGTTTGTACTATGGCAAACAGCATTTTAATGGGAGGGGAACTGGTCAAAGAAGGAACAGACTTTGACAGAAGATGGGCTCTGCCATCTAAGACCATCTACTCCCGAGGCTTGGAATTTAAAGGCAACTGTATCTGCATTAACACTAACATAGTTGCTGGCGGGGGGATGGAATCACAGGCTGGTCCTGTCTGCTTTTTTTTTTGTTTGTTTTGTTTAAAAAAACATTTGGACCTTATTTTCCAAATTCCTTGCAAAGTATTCTTGACTTTTTCCACTTATAAAATAACATTTTTCTCGATGTTTCTATGTGCTTATGCCTGTCTTTGGTGTTTTTGTAGCTGTTGTTATTGTTCTTGTATTCACTTGAGTCTTCTGGCATTAGTGGCTGTTGACAGCTCAGCTAATGGAAGACCTGATGATTTGTAGGTCTGTGCCGAGAAGCCCGGGCTTCTCTGGATGTACGGCACACTAGAATTTAATGTGTTGCCTAGCAACAATGTGAGCAGCACTCCTGTCTCCCAGAAAGAGGGAGGGATGGCTCTATGAGCGGGTGCCTCACCTTTTATTTGTAGCATTAGACAGAAGCCATAGCCGAGGTGATTGCTGGATGTTTTAGAGAGCAGTGGACTGCAGAAGATCTCTACGTGGTTTTAAAGAGACCACACTGGTAGCAGCCACAAACAGGGTGTTAGAAACAGCATGCAGTCTAAAATGTGTCTGTGTAGCTCTGCTGCAGTCACTATTTCACTTCTTGGTCCAGTGTGAAGCACTGTGCTTCCATAAACAAGTGCCATTTTGTTCAACTCTCATTTCACATTGCAGGGTTAACCAATTTCAGTTTCTGACAATCCAATCACATAAAGAAAACAAACTGTAGGATCCAAACACAAACCTTATTGTCTGCACAGGTCAAGATGCAAAATTTCTGGCTGTAGTTCATGACATTTCAGACTTTCAAATGCCTTCTAAGGAATGTTTTTGAAGAGCTTAAATCTGTGCTTTGCCCTGTATTTCACTGTTTTTCTCTTGCTGTATTTTGGCAGAATTGTTTTATTGTGCATATCCTCCTTCACCCTCCAAAAAACAATGTGTTTGTGTTGAGTTGCCAGTTATGGCTTAAATTAGGAATTGACTCCTGTATTTGTCATAATCACACACAACTTTCATCTTTAAATCTTTATTTAAATAAATATGTCCGAAGTGAATTTACAAGCCAATGAATATTTGTGTTAAACCCATTAAAATTAGACCTTGGATCTTTGATGGATGGGTTTATCCTGAAGAAATACTTCTTTAAATACAGCTAGTATAAATGCATGTACCAGCACCATAATCTCACCTTTTCACACAACAGATTCAGGAGGGCAACATGCATTTTGAGTTCATCTTAGTTTTTTTCTGTAGCTGTTCAGGCATGTCACAGAATACCAGACTGGATTTCTCAGAGCATTATCAAATTAGAGCAAATGGTTATTTGGGTAATTTAATCGAATTCAAGGCTCCTTGAGAGAAACAAAAACTGATATCTTGGCTGCACATGGTCTATTTTGTCCTAAGTGATAATCTACACTTGTTCCCTGGGGAAGGGCACAGCAGTTCACTTCACATTCTTATTGAGGCTAAGATACAAATATCAACAAATATGCTCTACTGTTTGCTTTACTGAAAGGCCAACTGATTTACCTTATTGCTGAAGGCTATTAACTACAACTGTCTGAGATACTGAAATGCATTAAAAATAAGTGTAGTCAGGTTTGGATTCACTTGGATTTCTGGACTTTAAACTGATTTCTTTTTGTTCAGTCCCCAAGGACTGTGTGGCCTGCAATTAGACAATGATGGCAGCATCATGGTAAGGTGTCAAAACAACCCTGTGTTCCACTGAAGCGTGAATACAGCCTTAGGGACCAAATCTTCCCCGACACACATCCACATGTCCAGTACAACATAAGGCACATCTACAGTGCCTTGTGAAAGTATTCGGCCCCCTTGAACTTTGCGACCTTTTGCCACATTTCAAGCTTCAAACATAAAGATATAAAACTGTAATTTTTTTGTGAAGAATCAACAACAAGTGGGACACAATCATGAAGTGGAACGAAATTTATTGGATATTTCAAACTTTTTTAACAAATAAAAAACTGAAAAATTGGGCGTGCAAAATTATTCAGCCCCCTTAAGTTAATACTTTGTAGCACCACCTTTTGCTGCGATTACAGCTGTAAGTCACTTGGGGTATGTCTCTATCAGTTTTGCACATCAAGAGACTTAAATTTTGCCCATTCCTCCTTGCAAAACAGCTCGAGCTCAGTGAGGTTGGATGGAGAGCATTTGTGAACAGCAGTTTTCAGTTCTTTCCACAGATTCTCGAGTGGATTCAGGTCTGGACTTTGACTTGGCCATTCTAACACCTGGATATGTTTAGTTTTGAACCATTCCATTGTAGATTTTGCTTTATGTTTTGGATCATTGTCTTGTTGGAAGACAAAGCTCCGTCCCAGTCTCAGGTCTTTTGCAGACTCCATCAGGTTTCCTTCCAGAATGGTCCTGTATTTGGCTCCATCCATCTTCCCATCAAGTTTAACCATCTTCCCTGTCCCTGCTGAAGAAAAGCAGGCCCAAACCAGGATGCTGCCACCACCATGTTTGACAATGGGGATGGTGTGTTCAGGGTGATGAGCTGTGTTGCTTTTACGCCAAACATAACGTTTTGCATTGTTGCCAAAAAGTTCAATTTTGGTTTCATCTGACCAGAGCACCTTCTTCCACATGTTTGGTGTGTCTCCCAGGTGGCTTGTGGCAAACTTTAAACGACACTTTTTATGGATATCTTTAAGAAATGGCTTTCTTCTTGCCACTCTTCCATAAAGGCCAGATTTGTGCAGTATACGACTGATTGTTGTCCTATGGACAGAGTCTCCCACCTCAGCTGTAGATCTCTGCAGTTCATCCAGAGTGATCATGGGCCTCTTGGCTGCATCTCTGATCAGTCTTCTCCTTGTATGAGCTGAAAGTTTAGAGGGACGGCCAGGTCTTGGTAGATTTGCAGTGGTCTGATACTCCTTCCATTTCAATATTATCGCTTGCACAGTGCTCCTTGGGATGTTTAAAGCTTGGGAAATCTTTTTGTATCCAAATCCGGCTTTAAACTTCTCCACAACAGTATCTCGGACCTGCCTGGTGTGTTCCTTGTTCTTCATGATGCTCTCTGCGCTTTAAACAGACCTCTGAGACTATCACAGTGCAGGTGCATTTATACGGAGACTTGATTACACACAGGTGGATTCTATTTATCATCATTAGTCATTTAGGTCAACATTGGATCATTCAGAGATCCTCACTGAACTTCTGGAGAGAGTTTGCTGCACTGAAAGTAAAGGGGCTGAATAATTTTGCACGCCCAATTATTCAGTTTTTTATTTGTTAAAAAAATGAATTTTGAACACTTGCCACTTTCTATTGATTTTTTTCATGGTTTTGGAAAAAAGGAATCTGTTGTTGAATTTTGTGACACTGTCCTCATCATGCAGCATAAATCCTTCATTAAGATAGTTAAAATAACTGGCATTTCTTAAGTTCAAGGTTTAACCAATCTAGAACTTAAATGTCTTAGCAAATTAATATGTAACATGTAATATTATTTTAGAAACAATGTTAATAGGAATTGGCTCCACATTGCAAACTGTATGACTTCCAAATATTACATTTTTTTGTAAAGGGCTCACAGGTAGTTAAGGCCATAACAGATTCTCTTCACAAACAGCAAAACATTCAGTGAAAACCTAACAATTTCTGTCACAACACTATTACTGTGTTTGCTGTTCCCTTTTCCCTTGCTTTTTCTTACATAACAAACCCCCCACCCCGACCTCCATTATTACATTTGCTTAGTCTTTCCTTCAGCTGATACTGGCTGCTATCAGGATCTCCCTGGCTAGGTCCTGCTGCCACGCTCGGCCCACTGATGATACAACATGGATGAAGTGGCTGAATGTTTGCCATTCCTGAACTATCACACACAGGATACAGCTATGACTTGTGACCTCTTTATATTATAGGAGATAATGAAATTGTGATAAGATACTTTCCACAACTGATCTCAGATAAATTTAATCTGCTGTCTACTTGAACACTGATTTGCTGCGGCTAGAAATTAAATAGTGGTTTGATCATCTTTCGGATAAACCTGGCTGCCAGCCTGTATGTCTACAAAGCTCCTGTCGCTTATCTTTTTTTTTTAGTTTCTCTGTCTCCTTGTCTCTCTCACAGATATATGCACAAATTTATCAGAAAATTGGCCCATGTACATTACCTGTCCATGTAAATCAGATAAACTTTTGCTGAAGGTATAGTGAGCCTGCCATCCATGGCAGGTTGCTCCAAGGCACAACCATAAAGGATGTGGAACTCATAGCTCTGCCATCATCCTCTGAAAAAGACAGCACCAATGACACCATTTAACTTTTTGTGTTCAAAAAGACAAACTTGCTGGCTGGAAGCAGGGCTGTGCTAGCTGTTTCCCCTTGTTCCCAGTTTATGCTAAGCTAAACTCAGCCGCAGGGTGTTGCTGAATATTTACTGTGCAGATTGATATTGATCTTTTCAAGAAAGCAAATAGGTGTATTCACGAAATTGTCAAAACTGTTCCCTTAAAGTTGTAGCTTATGACCCATACCATGGCTCTCCAGTTAAAAGAATACTTCAGTATTTTAGGAAATTCACTATTCCCAAAAATCAGGTTTACTGTTTCCAGCAATGACAGATACAGGTATATTCTGTTTTTTGTTTGCTTAATTTTTTTAATTAAGTGCTTGTTCTGTTCTGTTTACTTGACATGTGAAAAAAAAAACTCAAACACAAAAAAAAGGGGGGGGGGGGGGCTGCCCTGCTGATTTATTGATAAAATTACCTCCGTGTCATGTCAGCTTCTGAAAACCAATCCATGCTTGAGAATAGATTTGTACAGGTCAGCAATGACACATGTATGGCACTGACATTTGATGTAAAGTAATGAAAAGGTAAGCAGCCAGTGATCTGTGCAGTCTAGACATTTGTCCCTTCCTCAGTGGATAGGTGTCTGCAGCAGAGACCGTGATCGGGGATCAGGATAAGGAAGGGAGGGAGGACAATTCAGTGAAGAGTGCTGCTATCTGAAACCCTCTCTAGGAGTCAGAGAAAATGGCAGCAGTGCAGCGTAGCTCATTACCACATAAGCACATCATCTATCAGACATGGCGGTATAGGCACACATAAAAACACATCTCACACACATTTGTGCAATCAACCTATCAGACTTCTTCAGTGCCACTGCAGCAGAGAAGGAAACAGGGCTGATGAGAGGATGGGGGTTTGCAAAGCTATGCTGCCAGGTTACTGATGAGCTATCTGCAGACTGACATATAGTTTACATTCCCTTATATGACTGTGCACACACTGAACACACAAACGTACAAACCCACAGCCACTACAGCAGGGAGCTTTGGCACAGCTGCCTTGACAGTGTCACAACTCCTGTTTCTGGTTGGAAAATGGAGTTGTATGTCTGAGGCTCAGTTGGTGAGAGAATCCCATCTGGGCAACTGGCTCTGTGCGGTTCAATCCAACAGACATGCCCACCATGATGTCTTTCCACATTTATACATTTCCCACCTAATGTATGCATGCATAATACATAAGTATGTACTATAAAACAATAGTTTGACTTTTGGGTAAACAGGCTTATGCGCATTCTTACCAAGAATTATGAGAACACTGACACCACTGTCCTGTAAAGTCATGAGTATGGCTGCAACTGGCTAAACACTGCAAACAGCCTGACTCTGCCCAAGGGTAACAACATCCACCAATCAGAATTCTAGAGCTCACTAATTAATACGTTATATCTCACTTGTTTGTTTGTTTGTTTTTTTAAAGGTAGCCACTATGTTTTTCTAATAGACTTTTTGCATGTGTCTCTTCTATAGGCCCACTGCTCTGAAATGTTTTCACACACTTTTCTAAGTTTCTATCTGTTAATATTTATATCAATATGCTAATTTACAATTTAACTCATTTAAGCATGTAATTTAAAGAGAGCTTAACCAACACCAAATCACATAAAATCTACCACTGCTAAGTCTGCTACCTTTAGCAGTAGTTTAGTGTTGTTGTTGTTAATTGAGCAACCAACAGGAGAATTCATATTTTTCATTTACAGATAATGACATGGGGAAATATAATATGCTGAAATCAAGTTAAGTATTCAATGTAATATAAGATTTTGTTTGTGGTTTTTTATTACATACCACTGCTGTATTATTCAACCAAGTTTCTTTGTCAGTTGTGCCAGTGCAATTCTGTTCATGTATGTGCCTGTGAGTACCGTAAGGGCATCCATATGTGATTATGCACATGCGAATTGGCGTATGAATATGTGTCAGTGTGTGCTGTGTATACTAAGCAGTTTATCTTGTCTGTTCTGCATATTTTCTCACCCACAAGTGCAGCAATTCAGTTTACACATGCAGACAGACGCTCAGCTCAGGTCTCCTGTAAAGATAAAACCCATGTGTCCCTGGCAGAGGTAAACAGACTCCTCCAACAGGACTATGTCGCTCCCCTATTCTTATCGGCCATATTATGACACCCCCAGAAACCCCCATTTATGCACACTGTTCACCTTCACTAGATCTAGCCCCCCTCATACCCACGTGCCCTGTCTGGTGCACCCTGAAGACATGTCAAGAATGACTGTGCTGCCAGCCATTTAATTAGACAACCATGTCTGGCATTTGGGGAATAAGGGGGGAGGGGAGCCAATGCAGAGGCACATTAGGTATTTGGGATGGGAGGGTTGACTGTAGTTAGAGTTGGGGGGGGTAGTGTTGGAGAAGTGGTGTGCACATCTGCAGAACAGCTAAACACAAACCATCATCCAGCAAAAATCTGCTTCTAAAGCTTCAAAACTGGGAAATATTTGCTGATCTGTGATTAATTTTCATGTTATATGTTAAAAACAGAGTTAACTCTACTTTTTGTTTGTTTGCAGAAACAAACTTTATATGACAATTTACTCCTTCAGCTTTTAATTGAAAACTTTCTTCTTGTGCACACTGTCCTCAACTAATTAGTAAAAATACAGCATAAAGTCTTTGAACTACATGTTTTGCCTACTTTTGCTTCACTGAAGAGATCTGCACATGCCACAGTAGAAAAAGAATAGGTGCCTTTTTTAATGGCTGAATCCCACTCGGTTGCTTCTCTTTAGGGCTCCTGGCATTGTACATGCTGGCTCACTGTCACACTGTCGTGGCTTACTGAGACACGTCAACAGTGAAAAGCCATTGTTAACACCATTATCAACATCTCTGCTTCTCCTCCTATGACAAGTCAAAATGTCTACTGCGAAAAAAGCCCAGGAGAGAAACCCTTTGTACCATTAAAGAACACATAGCATTGCAGATTAGTAGTGGCAGTATGACACTGAAGGAATTTGTAAATGAGCAGCTAATTGGAGAAACAAACAAAAGCAATGATCACAGTTCAGTGCATAAAATACAAACTCGGTCTTTTACTCTTTAACCAGTTCATTGGTTTCTTCCCCTATATTGTTCCCCATTGTATGTGTTTTTTATACCATCAACTTTGATCTGGTCCCATTGCAACTGCTTCATCTTCTGAAGGGGTTCATAAATCTCTCTTGATCTCCCTGCGGATGTAAAGGCAGGTCTAGAATATGAATCAGCACTGAGCCAATCCAGACTGTAGTCAAGCATAGCAACATCTGAAATGTCTTTTATCCGTCTCCATCTGCATGTACACACACATACACACCAGAGGATAGTTTAGAGGACAGAAAACATAATAGTGCCTCTGCACTAACAGCACTTCTTGAATGTTAATCCTGTGCAGAGGCTGTATGTTTTTAAGTGGTACTCAGCCAACAAAGCTATTTCATCATGGCTGTACTATACAGTCTACGGTAAACAATAAACTGACCAGTCTGACTGCACACCTTTAGTAGATCATCAGGTAAATAACAGACTAAAACGAGACTTCCCACTGGATTCAGTACATTCTGATTAGGTCTTTCATTTCTGTTAGTATATAATATCCTGCAAAGGACAGGCTATTTTTGTGTGCCGACACCTCTAATAAAACTATATGTTTTTAGTTTTGCCTTATTATTTTCATTATCAATGCATTTGACATTTACATTTTTTTAAATCATCAGCTTGTTGATCATTGAATAAAGGCATATGAACTAGACATGCATCAAAACAATGTTTTTGTCTCAAAAACTAATTAAAGTTAACAGACTGTTATTTACTGTACAGAGGAAAGAAAACATGGAATGGTTTACATTTGCTGATTAAACAACTGGCAAGAAAACCTATTTGTTCAAAGGTGTTAAGGTTTCTGGGTGTCTGGGGAAATAATGAAACTGCTGTGTTGAACTTTTTACCCTGGGGCCTCTTGAAGGTCAATTCAGCCATGTAGCTTATAAGATAATGTTTTTGACCTAAATCTGGTACAATGTGGTCTGGAGAAGCTGTGATAGGCCTAACACCCTTTTTGTTTGGACATATAGAATATAAATATTATGTTTGCTAAAAGATGTAGATGTTTCAGTTTCAGACAGGATCTAGATTTAAAAAAGGATACCTAGGCTTGTCTTAATAACCCAAAGAAATAGTTTAAAATGGTTTCGAGTTTGTGAAACCTTTATTTATCTCATTTTTAATAAGCATATACTTAAGTCTAAGTAGCTTATAAGATAATGTTTTTGACCTAAATCTGGTACAATGTGGTCTGGAGAAGCTGTGATAGGCCTAACACCCTTTTTGTTTGGACATATAGAATTAAGCCTTGACAAATCTGAAACCGTGCTTTACATAGTCTGGTTTCTCTGGGTTATAACAAATAAAAGCAGCCTATAGAGTTTCAGAGTTAGGCCTGATCTGATCCAGACTTGGTGAGAAAACCTAAGCATTTATAAGTGCACAGTGGTGGTTATTCTGTCTTATTTGTAAAATGTTGAATATAAAATAATATAAACACTGTGCTTACTTGTACCACGGTTGCCACCTTGTGTTTGAGGTGAAGTATGAAGGGATTCAGAAAGTTGTTTTTGAGCAGGCATTAGGTGTTCATGTCAGAAACAATATAGGCCCTAAATACAGGCCTCCACTTTGATGGATACTGTAGAATAGCGTTTGGCTCCACCTTGTATAGACCGCTCAGTACTACAACTCCCACAAATCTTTGCTCGCTTCTACTCGTGTATGGCATTATGGCGTCTTCTTGAATCGTAGATACGTCGCAAATATTTTGTTGACAAGTGAATAAGGTAAACTTTAAATTTGTAAATCATACTCGCAGTTTACTCAGTGTAAATGTCTGACTTGAATGACCTTTTAATGTTGCAGGTTTAGGCAGTTTCTTGACGGTAATTAGCTTTTTGCTAAATTGCTAGCTTAACGTTAGGGGCTAGCTTGTTCACACAATCCACTGCAGATAGTAAATCACTTTATTTTGTTTTGTTAATTACGTCTCATATGACAAGTGGGATGTTTTTTTTTAAGTTACTGATGGTGAATAAGTCTGAACCTTCACTGAAAGGCTGTTAATACTACACTGTTTCAAGCGGATAAACTAAGAACTGTCCTCAGTACGTTAAAAACTGATACAGTAACGTTACGGTGCAAATATCTTAAACACATGTAAACTGTGATTGCTTTCAAAAATAATGCGATGGATGAGTTTTATTTGTGCAGTCGCTTAAAAAACAGCGTAGCAGACACAAAATATTTGGTGTGGCCACCCTTTGACTCCTGTGTCTCCCAGGAGTAACCAAACCTTGGTGGGTTTGGCAGTCTGCATGACCTCTGTCTCTTCATATAATCCCAGACTGGCTCTGTGCGGACCATACCATCTGCTGCATGACACACATGCTTTCTGTTTTCAGATGGCAGCTGATTCCACAGACAAGAAGGATGTGGAATCCTCAGGGACCAAAGACAGGGAGAGGAAACGCAGCCGTTCACGAGAACGGGATCGTAAAGTTTCACCTTCACGCAAACGCCATCGGTCCCGTGAACGAAATCGCTCCAAATCTGCAGAAAGGTAAGTGAAACACAAAGGCTATTGAATTTCTTGATGACTTAGAATATATTTTTGCATGATCAAGATAAAGTTTGTTGTTTGAAAAAAATGGCATTAGCTCTAACTCATGTTATAATTACAGAGACCGGCGCTTAAAAGACAAGGACAGAGACAAGGAACGTGACAGAGATAAAGAAAGAGAGAGGAGTCGTAAAGACAGAGATGGTCATCGACGCGATCGCAGCAAGAAGTCCAGGTTTGTTAATACTAAAGTAGCTTTGTGAGATGGACAAGGATTACATGACATACACAGAAAATGCTGATTCACTTTTATGGGCAAGACCAAAGAGGACACGTTTTTATGAGTGGAGAAAATGCTGAAAGTATATAATTATAACATAATAATAATAAACAGCATTTATATAGCACTTTACAACTCAGAAGGGCCTAAAGTGCTGCACAGTATAGACATATCTATCGACTAAAACAATACTAAACAGTCAACAAGATAATCATAGAACATAAAACAGCATGTAGACAATGCCATTTAGAGGCAGATAAAACAGATTAAAGATCGAAAGCCTGTTTAAAAAGGTGCGTTTTTAATGTGGATTTAAAAAACTGCTAGCTTGTTGATAGACCAACATGGTGCATGTTTTTTGGGGTGGGGGGCTAAGAAAGTGTCAGTGTAAATATGTTACTTTTTTGTGTTACTTTTAAGTCATTGAAGATGTGGGTTAAGTAAATTACACACTGAAGTCAATGCAATAAGCAATGAATGCATGATTATGTTTGGACAAGGCTGATTACACCTTTATAAAACACTGTGTCACTCTGTTAAAGGAGTCCTTCACCAAAGTCAAAAGATGCCAAGATAAGGAGAGAGAAAGAAATAAAAGCAGAAGAGGAGGAAGATGAAAAAAAGAAGAAAGAGAAGGTAAGATTCTGATTTGGCTGAGTCATTTACAGTGTTGCATTATTGCTTTGAATCACTGACTGGTTTTGCTTCTGTTCAGGTCCAGCCACTGTCTTTGGAAGAGCTTCTGGCCAAGAAGAAGGCAGAAGAGGAAGCAGAGGCAAAGGTGAGACATTCCCCTGTGCACTTTTTTTTTCCTTTTAGGATGCAAGACTATTTTTCCCTGACTTTTTAAAAACTTTGTTATTTTCAGCCCAAGTTTCTGTCCAGAGCAGACCGGGAAGCCGAGGCTTTGAAACGCAGGGAACAACAGGTAGAGGAGAAGAAGAAGTTGTTGGAAGATGAGAGAAAGAAGAGAAGGATGTTTCAGGACATGGGGAGAAAAATGCTTGGTATGTATCGGCCTCTGGTTTAATTGTAGACAGTCTGCACTGTGGTATACTGTAGAATTGTGTTGATATTAACTGAGACTGTTACAGAGGACCCCCAGGAAAGGGAGAGACGAGAGCGGAGAGAGCGAATGGAACGAGAGAATAACGGTAATGAAGATGATGATGAGCGACAAAAGCTCAGAGAAGAGAAGGATAAAGGCAAAGAACTCCAGGCCATCAAGGTCAGTTCAAGGAGATAAAGATACATGTATTGGAAATAAAAAGTTATTATGAAAGTAAGCTTCAAAATACAAATCTAAAATGTTTCTTGTAGAAAATTCATGTCAGGCATTTATGAATATAATGTATTGCACTTTGCTAAACCACCCCAGTGCTTGTTGAGCATGACCTTCGCCATGCACCGGGGCAGTTTGCAGCTTGATTTGAAGGCTCAGATGAGTCAGCAGCTCAAAGTCTGAAACCATGATTCTCTGCTGGAGAACAGTGGATTGCTCCCTTTGGGCTGGTAGTGAGTTTCTGCCCCAAGCGAAAGAGTTTAAGTATCTCAGGGTCTTGTTCATGAGTGACAGTAAAATGGAGCATGAGATTTACAGACAAATGGTGCAGCGTCAGTAGTGATGTGGCCGTTGTGCCGGACTATTGTGGTCAAGATGGAGCTGAGCTTGAAAGCAATGCTTTCAATTTATAAGTCAGTCTGTGTTCCAACCCTCATCTAATCACAAGTTTTAGCTAGTGCTGAAAGAATGAGGCTGTGAATACATATGGCCAAAATGAGTTTTCTTTTCAGGGTAACTGGACTCAGCAAAGTCTTGATATCTGGAGGGAGCTCGGAGCGAGCTGCTGTTTCTTCACCTTCACAAAAAGCATGCATGGTAAATATGTAATCTTTACAGGAGCGCTACCTGGGTGGGCTCAAGAAACGTCGAAGGACTCGTCACCTGAATGACAGAAAGTTTGTGTTTGAGTGGGATGCATCTGAAGACACATCAGTCGATTACAACCCAATGTGAGTTGATGTAAATGCACAGTATCATTTGGAACATGTTTGTCTTGAATTGAAGCAGGTTGGTTTTCTAGAATCTGTTCCGGTCTAAACAATACGACCTGTCTCCCAGTTACAAAGAAAAGCATCAGGTCCAGCTGTATGGAAGAGGTTTTATCGCTGGCATTGACTTGAAGCAGCAGAAGAGAGAGCAGTCACGTTTCTATGGTGACCTGATGGAGAAAAGGCGCACGCTGGAAGAGAAGGAGCAGGAAGAGTGAGTAAAGCATCAAAGTTTGTTTGTAGCTTATTGATGGTTTTCAGAAACAGCTTAAAGTTTTTAAACCTAATCCATTAAGTAAAGCTGGAGATATATTACATAAAATTTCAAGAAAGGAATCTATGTAAAAATTTGGATGTGCAATGGATACACAGCTTGTGCTGACCTGACCCCCTGCTTCAATATCCTGTCTTTATTCTCTGCTCATCTCAGGACAAGACTCAAAAAGATGCGTAAGAAGGAGGCCAAGCAGCGCTGGGACGACAGGCACTGGTCTCAGAAGAAGCTGGACGAGATGACGGACAGAGACTGGAGAATCTTCAGAGAGGACTATAGTATCACCACCAAGGGAGGAAAGATCCCGAACCCCATCAGGAACTGGAAGGAGTACCTGCTGCCTGCACACATCCTGGAGGTCATCGACAAATGTGGCTACAAGGTCAGATCACTGAGTCAACATGTTGGAGGAATACAGAGCTGGTGCAAGTTTACACCAAATATTTTGTGGCTTTGGACTGTTGATCAAACAAAACTAAGCATTTAAAGACTTTGAATGGATAACACTGAGCCTGTCCAGACAGACAGCATGAAAGTGTCTGAATTTAACAAACAGTCTCATCCTGAGAAGGAGACTGCAACTTTTATAGACTTCACTGACTGTCACTGTCAGTCAGATCAGCCATTTCCTCTGTACACAGCAGGTTTTTCTAATCCCTTACCCCAGTTATGGAAACCAGGTTTCTTGTTTATCTAGGACATCTGCTTTGTATAAAAGGTGGAAAAAGATGGATTTGAGTTAAGTGAATATAAATACTAGTTAATGATCGCTTATTCTTCTTAAAATCCAGGATCCCACACCTATTCAGAGGCAGGCCATTCCTATTGGTTTACAAAACCGTGACATCATTGGCGTGGCTGAGACAGGTAGCGGTAAAACTGCTGCATTCCTGATTCCACTGCTGGTCTGGATTACCACCCTGCCAAAAATTGACAGGTAACAGAGCCTAGGCTCCAAAACCCAGAAGTAAAGCCATTAATAAAGTCTCACTGCATTTTCAGAAGAATTTTTGCACAAACCAAATGGATTTGAGTTAAGTGAATATAAATACTAGTTAATGATCGCTTATTCTTCTTAAAATCCAGGATCCCACACCTATTCAGAGGCAGGCCATTCCTATTGGTTTACAAAACCGTGACATCATTGGCGTGGCTGAGACAGGTAGCGGTAAAACTGCTGCATTCCTGATTCCACTGCTGGTCTGGATTACCACCCTGCCAAAAATTGACAGGTAACAGAGCCTAGGCTCCAAAACCCAGAAGTAAAGCCATTAATAAAGTCTCACTGCATTTTGAATATTTTCCATTTTACTGGCTGTTTTTGACTGTTTCTTCTCATTGCATTCCTCTGTGCTCTCTTGGCCTGCTCCTGCAGGATTGAAGACTCAGACCAGGGTCCTTATGCTGTGATCCTGGCCCCGACTCGTGAGTTGGCACAGCAGATCGAGGAGGAGACCATAAAGTTTGGTAAACCACTCGGCATCCGTACAGTGGCTGTGATTGGAGGAATCTCAAGAGAGGACCAGGGCTTCCGTCTCAGGATGGGCTGTGAGGTGAAACATAGAGCATTTACATTTGTGTTTCCTGGAAGAGTAGAAAAGCCACTGCAACAGTAACGAGATCAATTACCCAAGGGTGTAAAGTTAACATGAGCATGAAGTGCCACTAAAATTCATTTATAACAGGTAAATTGTGTCTCACTTTGACATTGTAACATTCAAACACCTTGCTTATACCGAGATCTGTCACTCTCTGGGAATACTTGACTCACTGTCTTTTTAACAATATGTTTGATTCAAAAGGCATTTTTCTTACTTATTATGCATCTACAGATATGATAACACAGTTTCAGTCCAACTTCTCGGATATAAATCTTTGTCGTCTGTTGCTGATAAATGTCAGTAAACTTGCCTAGAAATCATATTCACATAGATTAGATTCACTGCAGCATCTCTTGGCAGGAAGTCCATCCTGTCTTTACATTCATGAGGTAATAACACTACACACACATTCACCAATTGTATGTTTGTTTTCCGCATCTGACAGATTGTGATCGCCACTCCTGGCCGTCTGATCGACGTGCTGGAGAACCGCTACTTGGTCCTGGGCCGCTGCACCTACTTAGTCCTCGATGAAGCTGATCGTATGATTGACATGGGCTTTGAGCCCGACGTCCAAAAGATTCTGGAGTACATCCCAGTGACAAATCAGAAACCAGACACTGACGAAGCAGAGGACCCTGAGAAAATGAAAATGAACTTTGAATCTGGAAAGCATAAATACCGACAGGTATGTTTATGTTTGCGCACATCTTTGTGAGCGTTCTCACATCTCTGCTTTTTTCTAACTGTGTATTTGCACCTTGCAGACGGTCATGTTCACGGCCACTATGCCTCCATCTGTGGAGAGACTGGCCAGGAGCTACTTGAGACGTCCTGCTGTTGTATACATCGGGTCTGCGGGCAAACCTCATGAGAGAGTCGAACAGAAGGTCCTGCTTATGTCAGAGGGAGAGAAAAGGTGAAATGGACTCAAACACTGACTACAAACAGCAGACATTCAGTTTGTTTCAGTCCAGGTATCATACTCTTTGTGTTGTGCGTGTGATGCAGGAAGAAGCTGCTGGAGGTGCTGTCGCACGGCTTCGAGCCTCCCATCATCATCTTTGTCAACCAGAAGAAGGGTTGCGATGTGCTGGCCAAGTCGTTGGAGAAGATGGGGGTAAGCCACTGGAAACTAGACAGTCATCTTTGGTTTGATACATTTAAAACATAATATATAAATGTAGTTAATGTGAATGTAGCTATGTTGTAACCACACTGACTCTACTGAAATATCTCAACAGCTTTTAGGTTGGTTGATGTAAAATTTTACACAGACATTCATGATCAGAAGAGAATGAATCTGAGGAAGCTTGGTGACCCCCTGACTTTTCCTCTGCCAGTTTTTACTGATCCAATGCCTGTTTACATTCATAATGGTAAAAGAATGACAGAAACCAGCCAGTTATATTAGCATTTATTGACATTGCCATATGTTAGCATTTAGCTCAAAGTGGTGCTGTGCCTACCACAGAGCTGCTAGTGTAGCTGTAGACAGGCTTGTTTTGAATTTTAATTAAAAAGAAAAGAAAGCTTTGAAGACACCCACTGTGGGAACCATTGGACTACACTGTCTTATGTGACTGTCAGTGAAAATATACAACTAAATGTAACAGTGCCTGTGTGCTGCTGTTTCCACAGTACAATGCTTGCACGCTGCATGGTGGCAAAGGCCAGGAGCAGAGAGAGTTTGCACTTTCCAACCTCAAGGCGGGAGCCAAAGATATCCTGGTGGCCACAGACGTTGCTGGTCGAGGTATTGATATCCACGACGTCTCAATGGTCGTTAACTACGACATGGCTAAGAACATTGAAGGTAAGGTTTTGTATTGTTTTTCTTTTATCATCATCCTTGTAACTGGTTGTTTATTTGGCAATAACAGGTCATATTCTTAAGAATACATGAATTCAATGCGTGTAAATAACTAAATAGAAATATTCACTTGGGCAACTTCATGCTGACAAAGTGCTTCTACCTCCTCCTCCGGCAGACTACATCCATCGTATCGGCCGTACAGGTCGTGCTGGTAAGAGTGGTGTGGCCATGACTTTCCTAACTAAAGAGGACTCGGCAGTGTTTTATGACCTGAAGCAGGCCATCCTCGAGAGCCCTGTGTCTAACTGCCCCCCAGAGCTGGCCAACCACCCAGATGCTCAGCACAAACCTGGAACCATCCTGACCAAGAAGAGACGCGAGGAGACCATCTTTGCCTGATTTTTTTCTGTCTCAGACTGTTTTATCATGGTTTAAATGGACACATTGTATAGTTATGGTGTGTTAATGTCACCCACTTCTTCTGTTGTTTCTCACCTTATAACTCATTCTGGCAGTCAGTTTTTGTCTGTTAGTCCAGTCTGCAGGTAGAAACGGACACATTAACTGGTGCAGAAATCATCACAGGTTGTAAGACTCAATTGTGGGCAGTTGTGATCCACGCTGAAGCTCATAGTTGATTTGCTTTTATAAACAAGAGCCATAATCGGCGAGCAGGATGCTGCATTGTACAAATACGATTCTTCAGTTATTAAATGTGATGAATAACCACCAGGATGCAGGTGTAGGTGAGTATTATGTGGTATGTTTTAATTGGTTTTCAGTCACTATAGTTTGTTTCCTGACTGTTTCAGAGACCCATGCCAGAAGTGATGGCTCTTATTTACACTTCTGATGCAATAGCTTCTAAATTACAGCTCATTGTTTTAAAAGTACTGTAGGCATTTTTATGAGATGAATACAGAACATTTGAATGACATCTGACTTATTTTCTAAATGATGTATTTGAAGGACTTATCTGTAGCTAGTAGGTTTTTTTGTTGAAATGAGTGGCGTACTATGTTGGATGCAGAAAACAGAAACTTTAAGCAGACACACACAGAGCAGCACAAGTAATGTAGAGTGAATAGAAAAGAAACCATTGGGAGAACTTGCCGATTAGCTTATTATTCTAGGCAACAGCTGGTAAGCACATATCTTGGTGTTTTCTCAGTCAGGTTTTTACAGGGAGTGATGAGGCCATACTAAAACACCCAATGTTCTGCTAAAGACAAACACTGTTGGTGATTTCAAATGCGAGGTTCCTCTGTTTGTGTCCTTTCAATTCTTACTTATCGAACAGGAAGTTGCACTACTTCACATCAGTCTACAGTCAAGCTTGCGGCTCTATGAGTTTAATTTGCGCCTGATTACAACACTAATATTAGCATACAGATATTTTGCTGATTTAATGTTTCCCATGTTCATCATCTTGGATTTGCATGTCAGCGTGCTAAGTTAACATTTGCTGATTAGCACACAACACAAAGTACAGCAGACTAATAGAAATGCCATAAGTTTTCAGGCATTTAGTCATAAACTAAAGTACTGACACTGAAATGTTCGCCTGATGGTGGCGCTACATGAAAGGTGAAGGGATTACCAATGTTACAATTCATCCAGACATGGATAGAAATGAACTGACAAAATTAATTGGTAACAGTTCAGATTAACTGTTCAAACCATTCTTTGCAAACTCAGCATCTTTTTTTTTTTTTGACTTAATCAGACAAATATAATTTCTGTGTTCTAATTACTTGAAATGAATTTAATCCAATTACCATATGTATACCCACATGATAAAATCAGCCCACTGGGAGACTGGGCCCCCTGGGCACTTTCCCGTTAATTCGGCCCTGCACAAGGCACTAGAGCAGAAGTCAAGGGATCACTAATGCAATTAGGACTGAGCCTCTGGAGACGGTGAATGTCTGTTAAAGGGTCACACACAAAATCAACACAGCATGTAAAAGTACATAAAATGTCATGTTTATTTAAAGTCATATTTCACTTATCTATTTTCAAATAGAAAGCATTCTATACAGCATCAGGCAGGAAATGTCTCACTTTTTACACATTTCTTTTGATAAATAGAGGGAAGAGGCGTGTTGGGTCACGCTAGCACGCTCCTGTAGTCTGGTGGATACATGGTTATATTTAGTGCAGTTATTGCATTACAAAGCAACCCCCCCCCACCCCCAAAAAAAAGTAGTGCAATCTTTTTTTCTACTCACACAAAAGAGGAAGTCCAGATGGTCTAAGGCGTTTAAAGTTTTTCGATGTTAGGCTTTGTATTGCATAAAGAATAAGACGAGTGAAACTAAATTATAACCCTTGTAAAAATTGTGCTTCATAAATTGAAAAACCTCAACTGCTTCACCAGTTGCTAAATTGGTCCGCTTTGAAAAACATACTCAGCCAAAATATAATGACAGCAGCTTTCTGGTGACCTAAGACATGCAGGGTTTAAATATTCACTCATTCCATCACAAAATAAAAATAATAACGTAGGCCTGATCTGGAACAATTTTAGTGAGTGACTTTTCAAAGTGCTTCAAGCAGTGTGGAAAAATGTCCCCAGTATTTGTAGAAAATTAACGAATGCTTTCTGATTTTAGTAATAATGTTGTCAGTGGTGTGAGGAGTGAGTAGCCCCAGACAAGACTATTACTGCAAGACAACGAGGAGAATCAGAATCGGCGCATTACTAAAATACTTAACTGTAAAAAGAAACAATCAGGTTTCATGCAACACTTGCATAGATTTTTTTTTCAATCATGCTGATTTTTTTTAATCTCTTTAAAATATACAGAACACTAGATAGAGATACCGGTGACACGTGGAAGCAGTAAACCGGCTGTGACATAATCGACCCTGTATGTAAACAGACGCAGGTCGATGCTCGTCGACACCGCGTCCAACCCGTCATCGGCTCATGGACTATAAATGGTGCAGGAACAGAATGACATGGTGTCACGGGTGCTACGAGTCCTTAAGGAACACGACACATTCGTTACGTTGTGTTGAGCACGATGAGTGTGTAGGACTTTACACCTGAGGATCTGCCTTAAAACCAACTGTAAAACTGCAGTACATGAAGCGTAACGCAGTGTTTGGCAAGGACATACAAGGGAATAAGATTTAGTGTAGAAACTGGATGCTACAATCAGTAACGTGCTACAATTGAATTGCAGGGCGATCGGTTGGGTTGGGGACCCCAGGTGGTGCTGAAGGTGCAAAAGGCATGCGAGCTTACATTCTCTGTAGCCTGGATTTGAAGATGAGCTGCAGCCTGTGCAGCATGTGCTTGTTAAATGTGAGTGATTTGATGTAAATAAGCAGTTTGGCAAAAAAAAAAAATTTCACTTAAAGCATAACATTCCCTTTTGTGGATGTGTTAACATTCTCTGTGCCCATGTGAAGATTTTAAGAGTTGCTCAGGGAGTGAATGTGTAACAGCAGACAAGTGATGCCCAGAACATATCGTACCGTTAGAGACACTGACGCTGTACTGCAGCTTCACACCACTTACTTACATTGTGACTGTGTAGCAACAAATGTCATTCACCATCTTCAGAATAAGAGCTGATGGATGGCAACATTTGTCTGAAACAACAAACAAGTCCGTATTACCAAAATCAAATAAAGCATTAATGAAACGAAACCAGATGCCCAATTCAGTATATACATTGTAATCAAATGCATTACTATTCCTCATAAATGGATTCAACTGTAGACATTCCTACATTAGTTTATCTGTGAAGATCATTCAGCTCCTGTTCCAATGTTAATGTGCAAATGTCTTAAAATAATTATACATGCAATAGTAAAGACAGTCACAGTCTTAGGAATTTTAAGGCCAGTATATGAGACATCCTACAACAGAAACCTTAGGCATAGCCACTAAAGTTTGAGCTTGCATACAGCTGGTAGCCTGAAACCTTACCACTGCAGATGTGAGTAGCCCTGTTGACTTTTATCTGAATGACTTGACCCTGGAGAGGTCAGTGCACCCCTCTGGTTTGGATAAAGTAAATGTGGGAGTTTGGAGGAGAGACTGTAAATACTGAACACCCAGGTATCCACTTAATAAGCAGGGCCTGTGATTAAAGTTTGAAATGATTTTTCATCTCTGAATTTTGTGTTTAGGAATGTTTGACAATTGAAGAGCTTGAGGGTGATCTTGGTGCTGATCTGGAAGCCTGGGGGGGCCGTTCCTTAGTAGGTGTCTCGGGGCCAAAGGCGGCTGCACTGGTGGTTGTTCCTCTGGTTGTTACCTTGCTGAGCCTCACATCGGAGCAGCCTGTCCTGTGACTCATGCCCATTTTCACTGTGGGCACTGCCTGTGTGTCCATGGTGAGGGGGGTACATGTCCCTGTATGTGCGAGCATGGCAGGGAGAGGCATAGCCATCCTCTTCCTCTTCTTCCTCCTCCTCTCCATACACTTCATCCCCCCTGTGGCATGGGCTCCCCCTCTGACAGCGAGACAGGGAGTCACTGGCCTCGTCAGATGGCATAAGACTGTCTTGCTCCAAGGGGGAGCAGGCCTCCTCGCCTGCCTCCTCCTCCTCCTCCTCCTCATCACCCTCCAAGCCCACTGCCTCACAAGGCTGCGGCTGGTTCTTGTTCTGGAGGTTTTGAGCAGTCATGCAGGAGAAAAAAAGAAACAGTCAAAAGAATGCTCTGAAACCAGGACAACATTTTAAAGTAGTTTCATACTTTGTGGAAACTTTACTAGTAGTGCACAGTTTTTCTGCCGCACTGGTTCAAATCTAGCTTAAAACAATATTTACATGTCTGAATTGAAAAAAATATTGGTTTCTGCAACCTTCCTGTCCACACTGGCTGCAGAGATCCTTTCTTACTGTGTTTGCAATGTATGACATTAGAGACGAAATCCACAATCCTCATTCTGTGGTTTAAAAAAGCTTCAAATGTTCATTTGAATGTTCATCCTTTATGGGTTTGAACATGTCTCTAACTCTTTTACTTTTTATTTGTTACACAACTATGTCTTTCACTTTTGACAATCAAGTGCAACACTACTAATGACGTCTGGAAGAAACAGACTGAAAACATCCGCCGTTATTCCCATTCTCTCTCTGTGTGACAGCTGGCCTCACTTCCACCTCCAAGTGTGGTCCTCAGATCAGCTTTAAACAGCTTAGATTTCTGTTGAGGTCGTACAACATGTCATACAAGTCACCTGTTCTCTAGTATAACCTGAACCTCAGTAACAAAAATAAGAATTGTACAATGTATAGGGATCTGATGATGTTAATAACTGGCATGCAGTGTGCCGTGTTTGTTGAATTTCTTAATACTACAAACATTGAACAAAAGAAATGCAAGTGAAACAGCTGAATGGATGGTCAGGAAGTTACTCGTGGACATGTAGGTTATTGTACAGTCACCATGGTCTCATTCTATTGTTGTGTAAGTTTCCATTTACTTCATTTATTAAGCATTAATGATACGACTTAACATTTTCAACCAAGATAGCTTCATGTGCCAATGTGGCACCGTTCGCACAGCATACGCTGAGATTTTGACACTTCACACAACATTTTAAAATTGGTTCTCAACTAAAATTGCTTTGTGAATTGTCTCCCAAAAAGCTCGTGGAGCCACGATGAGACCATCAACTAAAGGTAAACGAGATAATATGCAATAATGAAAAATCTTTTCTGTGGTGAGATCTGAATGAATACTGTGCTGTTCATTCACTGTCTCAACAGCCGTGTCGTGTTCAAGTGTCCGAAGGTGTTCAGGAGGAGAAGGAGGAGGTGTGTGAGAGGGACTGTTGGGGTGTGTGGGTGTATAATATATAAACCCTACTACTCACCCCATTTTGTATGCGATCATTCAATTAATTCCTGTGTTTCAGAAAACTGCAAAAATGTTAAGCATGGATGAGTGAGAGGACAGACAAGACAACTGGAGACAATTAAATCAAAACACAGGAGTGACAGTCTGAGATGGGAAGAGCTGCTAAGGACAGTGACAACACACATGTTCAAAACAAGATTCCTAATTAAGCGTCTTAAATGCCATTAAAAAGTGTTAAAACATGCACTTCTGCTTTGTAAACAGATGAAGACAAACTCACCTGCAGGCTTGAGATGGCAGAAGGCGGGCTCATCAGACGCTGCTCCAGTAAGGGATTGAGAGGGGTGTTTCCTGGGAGGTGAGTGGCACGCCAGTAGACCTCTAGGTATTCAGCCAAGTGCTCACAAGCATCTTCCAGCTGGTTTTCATCCAAAATGACATCAAACATATCCTGCATGTGAACAACGAGACAAAATGAAATAAGGCTAGCTGTGTAGCTGTTCTTGAGCTAAATGCTAACATACAAACATGGAAAAGAAATGGAAAGAAATCAGCCTGCTCTGTCTACTCACAGGGGGACACTGAGAGAGTTTGTCTGCAGCCATCATCTGCACGTTCAGATGCTTGCTCTGAGACTTCCCTCTGGATTTGACCAGCCTCTGCAGCACCTGAGGGAACCGCAGTTGTGACATTTTAGATTAAGGAAGATGATGTAGCCTGAACGCAGTGTTCATGAGCGAGATAACCTAGTGTACCTTTGGTGAGGAAACTTTGACGTAGATGATGATGGGTGCGAGGGAGGTTTTAGCCAGCTGCGCGGGATGGTTGATGGTGTCCGCATCCAGAACCACGAGCTGCAGGGTTTTGGCGAGCTCAAATATCCTCTCAATCTCACTCTGAACCTCAGCTGCACAGAGAGGTTAAGTGTATTGCTTGTCAAAAACAAAGACCTGTGGAGTTTACATGTTAATATTTAAGCCCGGGCAGTATCACAGTATTAAGAAATCTTCAAACACATATGCTCCTTTTTCGGCTAAACCGAGACAGAGATGCTCTGTTAATGTGAAAACGCTTATGACTTCAAACTGTTATTGCCCAGGGTGGCCTGCACATACCTCTGCTTTATGTGCATCATCTAAGTAAATCTTCAGCATGGTAATGCAATGCTGCCACCTAAAGCAGAAGTAAATACACTTTTCTTCATTCAGCACGGTAATGCAATGCTCCCACTTAAAGCAGAAGTAAATACACTTTTCTTCTGGGCAAAACACCTGGATGATTAGAGGTATAGCAAAGGATAATCCTTACTCTTTGACTGGTTTATACTTGCAGGCCAAGGATTTAATTAAACTAAATAATGATTCAGCCTTATAAAAACTTATATTGACCCATTTTGTTGCCTTGTTCAGCCATAACTCTCACAGTTGCCTTTAGGAGGCCTAATTTATAATGTTGCTATTCAATTAGCACTTTTTAAATTAAGATGAGCAATTAGTCAACAGTCCTTTTATTTAGATTAAGACTACCTTTAATGGAATATGATATGCTTTTGCCCATAAGAGTGTGTATTTGTGAAACACAGTTCAGGTATTTGAGCATGCATTATAGTCTGCTGATTAAAAGAAACATTCTGAGAAGGAACTTAGCCAACAGAAGAATTAGTCAGAGCTAGAAATGACTGACAGCCTGGTCATTTAGAGCTGCTAATGGTATGTCCATAACTTTATTCACAGTGTAACAACATAATGTAGGTTTAAAAGCATTTAATCCCAGCAAGATAAGGCTTAATATTTTACATCAAATACCTATCCTAAATAAATACATATCCTGATGAAAGACTGGGAGCATAGACACTGCCAAAGCCATCTGACATTAGTACAGTTACCTAGGCTGGAGCGAGTGTTAGATCTCTCCATTATGGGTCTTTTGTTGAGGACGGATCTCTTGGCTAAAGACAGGTCAGCTGTTACACGGGTGATTGAGATTCTGCAAACAAAGTCACAAAATACACAGAGAAAAACATTTAGTGAAATGTTTGGATCACATTTAATAAGGACCTGACTTTACACAGCTACAGTATAGGGATTGTTCTGGAATCTTTCCATGTTACCGACCTTCCCTCAAATCTGTGTTTCAGGAAGTCAAAAAGAGCTTTCTGCATCATATCTGTCACCTAGGTGGGAAAATAAAAATGTTTAAATAGACAGACCTTAAATAGACCTTCAGAACAACATTCAGATGCATTATGCTTTAGTTCAATGTCAGGATACTAAAGCAACTTAACATAAGACAAAGTAATAAACTATAATGCTGTTATGTAATATAATAGTTAACTATTGTTCTTTATTTAGAAACAGATCAACCAAGGCTATATAACAGTCACTAAAGTGAAAGACAGCTGTAATAGTATAAAATGTGTAAGGAAAAGTATTTGTTCTGCAGTAGAATTCCTCTTGTGACTGATGTATTTTACTGAATATGACTTTTTTAGATTTCTATTGCTGATGCAAGCAGCATTTCACTGTTGTAGCTGATTGAGGTGGAGTTAGTTTGAACTAACCTATAAAAATAATGACAAAATGCAACATATTCTTATGTGTCACTTTCTCAAATGACAAGATTCCTGCAGTGAATTTAATATATATATGGGTTTTGGAGTGAGACTATCAAAATAATATGTCTGATGACATTATCTTTGGCTCTGCAAAACTGTGATTGGCTTTTTTTCCAAATTTTTTTTGTGGCTATTTCTAAATCAAGTTTCCTGTAACAGCAAATAGTGCAGGATCATATTTAACAGAGAAAAGAGTGCGACAGGAGGCAGTTGTTCTTTGTCTGCTGAAGGTGAAATGGGGAGAGGCCGACCTCGTAGCCCTTCAGCGACGGTCCCACAAGGACCACCGGCCTCATAGAGGGCACCACATCGTAGGGAGGAACATGTTCCTGCCAGAAATAGGGATGGATGATGGGAGAGGGATGAAGAGCAGAGAGAGCATGTGTTAGAAATGATGGGCATTGGGTTTGTTTGTAACCTTGTTTGTTTAGTCATGTTAAAAACATAAGTGGAGTTTCTGCAAAGTTCACCAAATTAATACAAAGACATTTTTATTATCACATCTAATACAATAAGGTAACTTTTCAATATGTTTTCATGTTGATAATGGTCAAAAATGATGGAAAACCAGGATGGACAATAAGTTGAACTTTACCTGTACCCAGATACATAGTAGGAAACTGGTGGGCAGATTAACCACTTGACAAATAATGAGTTATCTTTTTCTAAAATTGATATGCCCATTATAAGTAAATAAGATTCCTTGACACTGTAGCCAGAAATATGAATAGCAATAAATAACAATGCACAAATTTTAAGGCTCTTTTCTTTTGAAGGAAGTGAATTTACTGGTCTTAAATGCTTGTCAAAAGTTGAAGATACCCAGATAATGTCCTTTAAGGTTCAAAATTAAAAACAATGTAAATGCTGTGTCATCATAAAGTGCCAAAACTTACCTGCTTTTGCTTCAGTTTGGCTTGTAAACACAAGGAAATGATAGTCAGTGAAGGGAATCAGAAGTAGTTGGTTTTGTGTTGAAGCGGTGAGGCAAGTGTGCAGTACTTACATTCACCTGCAGATGGTGGTGTGGTCCTCCAGCTTCCAGTCACCATGTCGCCTAAACTGGAGGAGTTACCCCCTGATTTTCTGCAACAAAAGAACATACATTTATTAAACTTACATTGTGGAAACAAATCCTCAGAGAAGCTTGATACCCATGTGGTTAAACGTATGAACTGACCTCTGTTTCTGCTCCTGTTTGAGTCTCATTGCCTCCAGTCGTAGAGGGCTGGGGATGAAGGTGATGTCCGCTCCCTCTTTTACTAGCCGACCAATCCACCAGTCATTATTGTACTTCTGTTAAGTTCAGTGCAACAACAGCACCATGTCACATCTGTCTGTCTGGTTATCATGTAAGGAGGGTGTTCATCCTCATTAACACCAAATAATGACTCACTTCTTTGATATGCAGGAAGTCTTTGGCATCAAAATTGACTGCAGCTCCTTGGACAGGACAGTCCTCATCCAGAGCCCCACAGTAACTCACATTCGTCTTTACTGCAAATGCTACAGGTTTGGACTATAACAACAGTACAAACGTGTAGCAGGAGAGAAAGGTGTGTTTGGCAGTGGACAGATGATTCCTCTGACTTTCACATTCAAATATAGTATATAGCGCATACAGTATGTAGATGTACCTTGGCTCTGTCGAGCTGTAGCTGGGCCTGGCGCTCGGCTTCACGCCGATACGCCTCGCGGTCCTCCTCTGCTGACAGGTCTGAATCCGATGGTCTACTGGTGTATGAATCAGCTGACCCCTGTCCAGAGAGAGTTGGAGGTGGACAAGGCTGGATTATTATTTGTGATACAGGAATTAATAATTTCATCATGACAACCATCCATTTACTCTAAGATTCTAGCTGCATATTACTGTGATTTAAAACACATATCTGCTGCTTCTGTTTATATCCGCTTTCATGTTTTCTGCGGCTCAGGCTCTTTGTATGCAGGTGCTCATGCAAATGTATGCATGAACAAATCTGTGTGTGTATCTACAGCACAGCGCACTGCTCTCTAACACCAGCCATCTTCTGCTAGACCAAATATAGCACAAAGGAGACAACTGCTTCCTCTTCTCTCCTGCTTGGCCCCAATCCATTCCAACATCCCCCACAGTGCAGCACATATACATCCTTTTTTTCCACAGGTTATTCTCCTAGGACATCTCCTCATTAGTAAAATATTTGCTGGCTATCATTGTTCATTGTAAGTGTTTAAGAACGCTTCCCAGGGATGGCTAACACATTATACTGAAAGTAACACGTAAGACAAACACAGAGACATGTTACAGAAATAAAAAGGTGAATTCACTTGATAGGTGCTGCTGCTGGCCTTTATTCAGAATCTGTAATCAGAATCAGAATCAGCTTTACTGGCCAGGTGTGTTGGACATGAGGAATTTGACTCTGGTACAGTAGCTCTCAATGTGCATGTAGATATCCAAGGCAGTAGCAAAGGGCAAGTAAACAATATACCAATGTAAGGCTGTGTAGTATAACAAAATAAACGGTACAAACAATGCAAACAGACAGAGGAATGTTCATTAGGAAAAAAGATAAAAATAAGAATAAAAATAGAGTAAAAAAGAAGACATCCATGATTAGTATGCCTCTGCACCACAGCAGCTGTGACCAGAGGCATCACTGTATGTTTTCAGGTTGCCTGTATGTACGTCCGTCCCAATATCTCAGGAACCCATTGAGGGAATTTCTTCAAATTTGGCACAAATGTCCACTTGGACTCAAAGATTCACTGTTTCCAGCTTTTCAAAGTTTTTGCCAATTGTCTTTGTCTTATATGAAAGGAAACTGAATGTTTTTGGGTTTAGAACTGGAAAAAAACAAGGCTTTTGAAAGTGACACTATGAACACTGGAAAATTATCATGGACATTTTTGACTGTTTTCTGATATCTTATGGCCAAAATGAATAATCCGTTTATTTATGAAGAAAATAAAAAGTTCAGTTATTATGAAAATAACAGTTGCAGTTGCAGCCATATTATACTGTATATGTACATTCAGACATTAACTAAAAACAAATATGAGCTCTAGATGAAGTTTGGGTACATTGTGTGTGTGTGTGTGTGTGTGTGTGTGTGTGTGCTGCTATATTTGGTATCTATTTAGATTCAGTCCTGAATCTGCTGCAGCAGAGACAAATCCAAGTCGGGCCAGGGATCAAGACATGACAGGATACAACCAAAACTTGCACTCAGAAAAAAAAAAGGAATAAAAGACATGACGAAGGAGACAGACAAGAAGATGCTCAGATAAAACTCTCAGAGGAAACTGCAAGATGGTCAAACATATTTTTGCAAATAAAGCAAGATAGTAAGAAACTAAAAACAGCATATAATACAGTTTTCACTTTGGTTCCCCTCTCCTCCAGAGTGCAGTGACTTAATCCTGGTCATCCATCTTGTCAACATATACAAACAAATCCTCCGGAGGACCAATTAAGCAGCAGCACAACAAAAGGAAGCTCGGGCTCAAAATACAAAAAAAAGGTTGCCCAGGCATGAAAACCAACCACCACCTTTGCTTTCTCTCCATTTCAGAATGTATACATAAAATCCCAAATACATTCTTATCTACAGTACTACTTCAAGCCCCAGAGAAGAGACAAGCGAACACCTCTTCTTGTTTCTTTGTGTGTGTGTGTCTACTGTCAGATAACAACATCTGATTTTTAGCAACTCTGCAAGGCAACACTGCACCAGTGCTAGAGCAGCAGTGAGAGAGGAAACAAGGGTGAGGACAGATAGAAAGAAAAAGGCAGAGTGAGGAAGGGGGCTGGTGGGTGGGTGAATATCGTTGACAAGATATCCTGAAAAAAGGAGAATGAGGACAGGGAGTGACTGATGGACAGCAGGAGAGACCAGAGGGGTAAAATCTGTTTATACAGTGAGCTAACGCGAGGCTATGTCCGGGGGAAGATGAGATTAGAGCATAATAAAATGCTATGAAGGAACGGATTGAGACCCGGATATCAATCCTCATTGTGGAAACACAGCAGCAGCAGCAGAGGACGAGAAAAGGATCATGTCCACAAGAGTCATAGACATAAAGATAGCAGAGAGCTGCATAGCTGGCTGATTAGGAGGACGGTGCTATAACCTCATAAAGACACGAACAAGAATCTTCTCACTGCTCTGGGAGCACACTCAAACATACATGAGCATAAAAGTGGAATAAATATGTTGGTGGGTGCAGGGGGCAGGCGTTCTGTCAGAGAGCTGTTTAAAGATGTTAGAACACATAGAGCTGCCTGTGCTGGGATTGCTGTTCGCTGTTAATGTTTGAACATGAGGCCACAGATCTCCGCTGCACCCACTCTATCCTAGTTACCTGTCAAACACTTCATGAAAACAGTGTTAGCACCAGTAAACAGAGCATTTTGTTGGTGAAGCTCAGCTGCAGTGCAGAGTGTAATGATGAGTGAGTCTGTCTTTATTGTCTGGTCTGAGGATGTCTTGTTTTTGTACAGCTGATGTCCCTATCTGGGGGCTAAATTTAACTCTGTTCCTTCCTATTTGGATTGTGTGATTACTTGCCACACACTAAAACACTGATGGCCTCAAGTCCACAGGGAGGGACCGACAAGGAAGTGTATCATCCAGCTATAGTCTAGTCCTCAAGAGGGCCAAGTCATCCTACAGCCTAGGGCCAGAGCAATTAATTTTTATTATGATACTACTAAGACAGGCATGCAGAGATGTTGGGCACCACGGTGAGGCAGTGGTTAGTGCTGTCGCCTCACAGCAGGAAGGTTCCTGATTCAATCTCCGGCTGACCCAATGCTTTTCTGTGCGGCGTTTGCATGTTCTCCCGGTGTTTGCCCGCATTCTCTCCGGGTACTCCGACTTCCTCTCACAGTCCAAAGACATGTAGTTTAGGTTGGCGGATAAGTCTAAATTGCCTGTAGTGTCAGCCCTGTGATAAACTAGTGACCTGTCCAGGGTGTACTCCGTCTCTCGCCCAGTGTCAGCTGGGATTGGCTCCAGCCCCCCGTGACCCTCTTCAGGATAAACAGTGTAGATAATGAATGGATGGATGTAAAGATGTATTCATCTTTGTTCTTAAACTGTAGGTTAATTACCTGGCTAGCCATTATGGAGTATGCAAAACATTAATTTTAAAGCACTAGTCATTGATCAAATTGCAAGCAAATCTTGACAAGTGCATATCTAATGGCACCACCGCTCTCAAATTGACTGAGGGGTTAATACAAGGTAGCAAATAAGACTGGATGTTATTAAGCCTGCATTAATTGATTTTGGTCACTTGGGGGCAGCCCACTGAAGTTTAAACAATACTTTTTAAAAAATAATTACATTGTTTGGGCATTTCACCTTTATTAGGTATATACAGGAACGTAGGTCACTAAGAGGCAGAAAGGAAATTGGAGAGAGAGATGGGGAGACCTGTGAAATAGGCTGACGGTTGGAATAGATCCACCAGCGTCATGCGCACGCTGTGCCTGGTACATTGTGCGCCCCCTTAACACAATACTGATATATTAATGCCTTATAAAGGAGTATGGTGAATGTGTTAGCAGGTGCTTATTTAAACATCCAGCAGTCAGGGAGCACATTAACATTCATTTGGGTCTTTGTTTGTGTCCACCACCAAGTGAAGAAGTTAAACATTCATTCTCCTTTTAACTCTGTTTTGGTCTCTATTGACCCTTTAGCTGCTAAATGCTCAATATGTCCACTGGCTAACTAAATGTGTCTGTCTGCCATTTGGTGCCGGACAGATAACGTGCAGTCAGTTTATCAGAGGGGTTTCACTGAAAGCAGCTGCTGCTCAAAACAACACTAAGTAATTATGTTTAGCACAAGGAGGAGAAAGTTGCTCCGCCGCCCTGCTAAGCTGAGGGGAACTGTAGAGTGATTATTCTCTGTGGCTTATATAAAAATATTGATTATAGTAGCTTTAAGTTAAACTGATTGGCAGTAATTCTGAGAATACATGATTTGTAATAAATGGAATAAAAATGCAAAACAGGATGTTCCTTTGAAATCTTGTAAAATAAAATGCAGTGAGTGCACGCTAATGAAAAAAATCAGAATGGAATAACATTATTCAGGAGACTGAAACGCCTTTCCCTCAAAGCAAAAGACAAAAACAAAAAATGCAAGCTCCAGTGTTTTAGAAATCCAGTAGGCTAGCCAAATACCCAATTTCAGTGTTCAATTAACTGTGGAAGCCGTAATTCAACGTCAGCAGGTTACACATGCACAGAGCTCTCTGATACACGGTGCAATAAAACACTGTGTGGTTACATCACTATCAGAGTCGAGAGCAGGCACATTGTATGTCAAATCAATCAATCACAAGACTCTGCATAGAAGTGTGAAGAGTGCACAGAGGATGACGGCAATCAAACAGTAAATCAGGTGAAGGCGTGAGAGAAACAAAAGCCTTATTGGAGATGAGAAGCGAGATGAAGGAGGAAGACAAAGGAAAACCGTGAGGAGTGGCAACGATAAGATGGAACAGAATGAGACAGAAGGCGAAGACAGGGAGAAGGAGAAGCAGACTGTGCTGGGAGTCATTTGTACTCACTCAGTTAATATGGTGATGCTGCTGCTGCCGCCCGTCCCTCCCTCTCTATGTACTACATGCTGTAAAATGCAGACACGACTGTGCTGTGTCCCGTCCCCTAACCAGGGACGACCTGCACTGGAGCAGACACTGGCAACACCTTCTTTTCTATTCTTACCCCACCCATCACCCCATCCCAACATACACAAACGACCGACCAACCAACACGGCTTCTGCACCACTTGAAAAAACCACATCTCTAAGTTTACAGATTCTTTAATTAAAGTCCAATTCAGAGGAGAAACAGAGAGGACACTGCTGCTACAATCACACACACTACATATTTGAGAATTTCTCCTCCGGTTCCAGAGCCTCATGTCCTAGATTTAACACATACATCCACACTTATGGCAGCCACTTATAGCAGCATACTGCTTTTGTATCCTGCTGCAGAAATGAGTCATACTCCACTGCTCCTCCACAGACACCCCACCCTTATCACAGACCAGAAACTCTCTGTTCTGTTTGTGAAATGTACTCTTTCTGCACAAAACACTGTGTCATATCAGCTCTGGGCAACGGGCTGCCTCTTGTGCATGCAGAGAGAAGGTAATGACTGAACAGAAACTAACAGTGCCCCTGTGAACAATGAAACCACACATCACATCGCTCAAGGTCTGCAAAACGAGCATCATGAATATTTTAAGCCCTGCAATATTCTCAGGGAATCTGGAGGTTGTCATTAAGCCACCCCCTGACCTCACAGTCGGGATAACGAATGTCCCGTCCTGAAGAAGGTGTTGGCTCAGCAACGCCTCGCAGTTACACTGATCCACATGCCTTCACGCTAATGGTGCTATGCATGACACCATGCTATTTTTCATGGTGTTTGAATTTCGTGTTTGCAGGTGTCAAACAAGTGACTCACAAATGAGTAAAACCTTGTAATGTCACTGAATTTTAATGTGGAATTTAATTTTACTGAAGGGGCATTATTTTCGGCTTCATTTTTAACTGCAACAGTTTTAGTTCAACATCCACTTTCTACAATGTGATTCTTTCCCATCCCTTTTCAAACCTCAGTAACTTTAGCAACTTACTAAAACTCAAAGGCTCAGTTTAAACTTGTGATCACCTGTTGTTTGGCTAGGTGCCAGAATTACTAGTTTTTAGCAGTAGATACTAACACAAATAGCATTAATATTAATTAAGCTAGCCTAATTAATTTTCACCACCTGTGGGTCCAACCTGAAAATAAACTGAGTAGCTGAAGATATGAAATGTTGGCTGACATCATTTGTTCTAACATAGTAAAATAACAACTGTGATGTTTTGACCTTCCATCCAAAACATGGAGGTTGTGATTCACAACTATGAGGTTAATGAGCTAAGAGTATTGATATCTATCTATCTATCGATCTATCTATCTGTTTACTTACACTTAAAGTATATCTATGATTGTCACTTTCACCATTGATTACGTGCAATATTTTTAAATCGACGACACAAACCACGTTCCATATTTGTCATGCTGTACCTTTTCTGCTGTTGTTTTCACCCTCAGTTGTTGTATTTTATTGTTAACTATATTTATACATTTTATACTGCTGGTATTTTTATATTGACTTATTGTTATATTTGTATATTTTACCTTATTCTGTATATACGTTACCTGTGAGAACTTTTTGTTTTATCCTTATGGGCGTGATCACAGTTCTGTTGTCATTGCATAATGACAGTAAAGTCCTAGAACCTCGACATTGTCTGTGCTAATAAATAATGAGAAATAGGTTTGATATAAAATGTGCTTGCATTAATCAATGGGAATAACACACAAAATCTGTTTTCTGCAATAAATGTTCTTTCACTAAGTTAATTTAACATACACCTCTTGTGAATGTTGAATACAATAAACTTTGAAAATGTTTTATTTTCTAACAAACTTTCTTTTCTAAATCTAAATGTATTTCACTATCATTCAGTGGAAAATAAAAATACATTTTCTCTTGCATTGTTTACAAATCAGAGGCACTGCCAGCAAGTTATGGAGAGAATATTACATTTCAAAATGTATTAAAACAAACTGATTGACTTAGTATGTAAAGGAATTAAAATGAGTATTTAACCACCATTAACACCCAACTTTAAAGTGATCAGTAATTATAATCTAGTGATTATTCTGCAAAGTGAGTTTATCTACTTTAAGTATATTTTGATACTATGCTTGTTTTCTTAAATAGAATTACAGATTCAGGGATTTGACTTGTAACAAACTATGAGGATACTGTGGTAATGCTACTTTTACTTAGTGTAAGTAAAAGATATGAGTCTTCTTCCACCACCACCTGGTCAACATCTCTGCTGTGCATGACTTTCTGGGAAAACATCTCAGCTTTAAAGGTGACACCCAAATCAATTCCACCACATGGAGGTAAATTTAAAAGGGTCTTTATTATTATTGTTGTTGTTGTAGTTAAAACCAGCTGAACCAAACAAGAGGCTATGATTCACAACAGCATGAGGGGAATCTATGCTTTTTTTCCAGTCACACAAATCATCTTAAATAACACTAAGTCTTTCACATATGCTTGACCTGAAAACATTAATTAAAAAATTGGGCTGTGCTGGGATTTTGATGTAACACAATTCGACTTTCAAACATCTTGGTTCCCTCTGCTGGACAAAAGAACAACTGCAACTGAGGAGACAGCTGTGGTTGAATATGGTTGAGCAGAAACATTCATGAATTGAATACCGGGATAATAAATACAGAGCTACAAATAATATTTTTGGAACTATTGTGAGTGCACAAGAGCAACCTGGATTCACCACCAATCAAATTAACTTGGGAAAAAACTATGGGGGCTGAAAAGAGCAATGCACAGACGCCTCTGCGGTTGGAAAAGATACTTCAAACCGCTGCAGCTTCATGTAGACCTGGGAGCAGAGTGTGGCTCCCACTACAGATCAGTAAGACGCCCTGTCTGTGACTGTGATGTACCAGGACATACTGTAGCCTACAATGCATGCATAAGAAGAGGACAAGCAATGGCCCTAAGAGCTTTTACCTGCCGCTTGATGATGCTGGACGTTGTGTCAGAAGATGTGCTGCCATCTGAGCGTTTGAAGCGACTCTTCCGCTTAGGCAGCTTCCTGGGCAGCTGTGATGAAAGAGACCATTCAGGTGAAAGAAAAATGGGAGCAGAGCAAATACTCCTGAGGCACAAGCTAACAGATAGAAGGACAGACTAGCTTATCACAGCAGTAAACTAGACACCCAAAGGCCCCAGCAGCATCTACAGACTTTAACTTTTGCAATGTTTTTTTTTTTTTTTTACAGATTCAGACCAAAGATCCTCCATCCTCCATCTTGTGGCCCTTCACTCACAAAGGGACGTGGTTAGTTTAAATTTTGGTCATTTGGTGGAAGGTTTTAATCACATTGCTTCACTTAGGAGTACTGTAAGGCTAAAGCCAGTAATTATATGTCAGATAATTATTTTCAATTGTATCAACTAACAATTTCACCTCTAGTGGAGCCTACTGTTTAGTTTCTGGGTGCCTGCGGATGTAGTGAAACTGGACCCAACAAAATGTTTGTCCAACCTTACATGATAGTACAGTACACCATCTGCTATTACAGTATAGAAACTATCAATATCGCGCTGGTATGCTATTACCGGGTGTGGTGAAAACCCAGTGTCTCAAGCTGCACATACTGGACTGTGTTATGCAGGAGACCGTTTTCTGAGACCTTATGTGACACAGTCCAACAATAAAAAGCGTAGATGTTGCGGTGTGCGCTGCTACAGGCCCTGTAATTTCAGGCTACAGGTGCAGCCAGAGCTAAGCTTTGTCTGCACATTTTGCACCAATAAAAAACACATCTTATAAGTCCCATGAGGTTAGTGGTGCGTGTTGATTTCCCCTATATTCGTGTGGACCAAGTGTTGTAGGAAATACATTAGAAATAATATTAAAACATCAATACACAATACATCACAAGGTCACCATCTATGCACATGTGTGTGCGTATTATAAACACAGCCACTTTATGGTCGCAGCCACTGGCAATCCAGCATCAACCTGCGGTTTCTGTGCAGGCGAAGGTGAAACAAACAACCAAACAAATAAATAAATCAATCAAAGTAGAGGCTTGCTACCAAACGCGACGTCTCAATTTCAACAATAAGTAACAAGACATTGGCTGAACATATGTCTCCTACCGCGCTATAATCACAATGATAGTTAGATGTGTGAAGAAAGGAGTAAAGGTGAGGGGATTTACCTGAAAATAGTGCGACTGAGAGCCGGTTTCCACAGCAGACAGAGGGTCTATGGGCGATTTGGACATTTTGACTTGCACCATCTATTGAGAGCGCAGGGAGCCAGGACGCGCACAGACATGGGTTACTGGAGGAGACAAGGGATGCAAAGTACATCTAAATGCAGTAAAAGGCAGCGAAAGAAACAGCGTGCAGGAGCGAAAATAGGAACAAATAATGCGATTAGTATTCACAGTCAGCTGGTAGGACGCATATACAGCAGCCTTGAAACAAAATGTATGTTAGCCTACATCGGGAGAAAATGTAAAGCAAGCAGGAAAAATAGCGGAGCTAAAATAACCCGTTAGGATCGAAGCGTCATCGCAAGCGTAGCCGACAGGTCTGTACTAAGTGTGCGTCTCTCCCGGGGGTGTCGAGGTTCGTTTAATCGGCACAAAAATCAGTTCATACCGGTGAATCACAGTTTCCATCTTCCTCTTTAGAGGTGTGTTGCTTTATACATACTGTGCTCATTCTCCTCTGTGCATATAGGATAGTATTTGTGGGGGGAAATGGATCTTCAAACAGGATCCTTTGATTCATACATAGAGTAGGGGAGCATTTTTACTGTAGGTACCACTTTGTGATAACCAGGGCCAGATTAAATTCTTAGCAGGGCCGGGGCAAAAACTCCTTGTTGGGCCCCTATGGGTGTAACTTTCCTTATATTCCGAGGCACCAGAGCCAATTAATCCAGTTATCTGAATTAGTAAATTGATCTATCAATTTGTCAATTGACATAAAATTAATTGGCAAAAATGTGATAACTGCTTGATCATTTAAGTCTTTTTAAACAAAAATTAGGCTACACATTTTTCTGGTAGGACCACCATTGCTAGCAAGATAGGCTTTTGTCCCAGTAGCAAACGCCTGTCCAAAAGATTGGGAAAAAAAACAACAACAATAAAACTGCAGCAAAATCCCATAATGGCTGAAAAGTGAAATCAAGAAAATCAAGAAAATCAAGTAAAATCACTATGTCACTGATGTGTGCACAGCTCTGGGTTATAAATAAGAAGATTAACTGTCTATTCTCCCTCCCGTGACTATAGGCCACATCCTATACACATTGCACCAGATCGACACCTCATGCTTTTGTATTCTTTTAAATTTAAGCTACACAAAGGACACTGGCACCATCTCACAAACAAGAATAATTTATTGTTCAAATAGCCTATCTTCATAATTTTGTTTCAGTGATTTAAAGTGAGGTCTCGTGAGGATATACCTGACTCACCACAATAGAAGAGAGCTGAACACTTGCTAGAGATGAGAACTCCCTTCAGCCATACCTACTGGAGGCCATGGATGTATTAAGGGACAACTGGATACAGCATTGCTAGGCTGACGCCTGTTCATATGGAAGTTGCTGGCTCAGACTCTAAAAAAAAAATACTTCATGCTTCTGGAGTCTGGCCATAAAAATAACCTGGATGTTGCACACGCTTCCCTGTTTTTGGGTCCATAGAGAATGTGCACATAAGTTGAGCTGAGTCTCCCAAAGGCAGACTTCCAATGGCACTACAAACACATGGATGGGATAAAATAAAAATATCCTACGGCTAAACTAGACTTGGCAAATAAAACTGGACCAATTAATACAATTCTAACAATAAAACATTTCACTGGGTTTGTGATGGTAAAACAAATGTATTCATTTTTTTTTACAGCTACTGCTTTTCCAGTGATTCTCTATGAGTAAAATGCTTTTTGGGCCAGTTTGCATCATGTGATGAACACAGATGTTGTAGTAAGGGGGTCTGACCGCTATGCCAGATTTGCTTCACAGTGCATCACTGATCCTGAGTAGGAAGAGCCACTCCAACAAAATTAGTTAAGTTTTTTTTCTCAGAATTCTAACTTGAATCTCATATTTTTTACTTCAAACATACAATTCTGAGATTAAAGTCAAAACTTTAATATTTTTTACAGTGAGCCTAATCTTCTTCCATACTTGATGGCTTCCACTGGAGTCCCACATAGACTTAAGACTTAACTAGCAACTCTCCCCTCATTGACTCCAGACTCGACTCGTGAGTAATGGCTCTTGAATAGCAAGTCTTTCAACATTTCTGTAGGAGGATACCTTTGGTTTTTACAACCGTCTGTCAACCACTGCTTGTGACGCCCAAACGACACACACCAGCTGGCAACTTGTGCTGGTGACAACAGGATTACTATGTAGTAGAGTTTGGATACAAGGATTTCAAAACCACTAGGCTTTACAGAAAAGCTGCCTCCTGTGAAGAATGTGGGGAAAAGATAAACGACACCGGGTCGACCACGTCCAACTTCTAAACTCAAATCAGTGCTGCACATAGTCTGTAGTTTACATAAATTAACCTGGGCTTATCGTCACATTATGCAAATGTTACTGTTGTTGTTGTTGTTGTTGTAATGTCAGATGTCAGATTTATTAAAGGACTGGTGCATTAGTTTTAGCTCGGTGTAGCCAGGGCCTGGGCCATAATAGCTCCTTGATCATTAACATGATGCTGCAAGCATAATTTGAAGCAAGTGCCCTGAGTAATTAGATTTCTAGGATAATTATAGACTAAGGTGTAGCCTGTTATAACCAAAGAGTTCCAAATATGTAAAGTTACATGGATAACCTTTGATATTTTTCAAAGATCTCTTCTCCTATAGCCTGTCATCACTGTCAGATGTGTGTCCCCACAGTCAATGTCTCGCCAACGCCATCAGGTTGTGCAAAGGTGGAATTACACTAGTGCTGGTCAAAAATGAATGAACAAAAAATCTTTTACTTTAGCAAGTTTGATGTCCTATATCAGGGTTACACTGGTACATGCTTGCCTCCAGGAAATAGCCATAGGCTCACACTTTAAAGTTCTTATTGTTATCTGCTTTATGTAAAACACTAAATGTTTCTGAGATTATTATTATGATTTATTACTGTTATTATGAATATCACAAGCTAGCGCTCATCATTTTTCCCTGAAGCCCAAGTTTTGTGCAAATTTGCCCACTCCAGCTTAGCATCCTAGTGGATGTATGAGCACACAGCTGTGCACAGGATTGTCGTCTGTTGATTTCCAGCGATGTCGAGTTTATTGTCATAGAAAATTAACTCACAAATATTCACATTTAAGAAGCTGTTACCAGCTAATTTTGCCCTTTTTGCTTAAAAAATTACTTAAATGACTAATCAGATAACCAGAGTTGTTGCTAATTCTTTTTCTGTCAGTCACTTAATTGATTATTCAACTAATTATTTCAGCTTTAGGTTGGTTTTTGCTTGTCTAATGAAACTGTGCAGCAGCTGGAGATCACAGCTGGGGGTGTTTGACCTGCCCAGCTCACTGCAGACACGGCTTCACCTCTAGAGGGAGTACCGAGCTACTAAAAGTGGAACTGTGGAGAGTGGCGTGAGCACCAGGGCTGTGGAGAGCTGCGCCAGACCAGGCAGAGTTAGACAGTACAACACCGGAACTAAGTAGAATTTGATTTCAAAATAAAAGCTTTAAAGTCAGGGAGCTTGAGGTGAACACAGCCACAAGCAGTGCAACCAAAAATGATTTTTTAAATTTTACGTCCCAGGGGAGACAGAATTGCTGACACTTAATAAAATCCCTAACAAATGTGCAGTTAATCCAATTATGCAGTCAGAAATGATATGAAGTAGAACTGGGGGTCATGGAGCCGCTTGGCAGCTGCCCGTCTGTTAGTGTAATGGTATAGTAGCCTCACAGTCACAGGGCCCATTTTGCTTTATTAAATATTTTTAGTATTCTTTCCTTTATTGTACTTTAATGCAAGTAATATTTCAAAGCAGGACTTTTAATTGTATTTTTACAGTCTGATTAGTAGGCCCACAGGGTAGTTTTACTAAGCCGATAGCTTTAGACATGGAATGTCTGATATCGATCTTTTTATTTAACTTTCCCTTTGTGTGTCATTTCAATGACCAGGATTCAACTTCCTCTCTTTGCTCCCTTCACTTGTTGCTTTAAAAAGTGCCTTAGATTTGTGATTTTACTGCCTATTTAGATTTGTGTTATTGCGCATCTACTTTATATTACTTGTATTATGTGGCATTCATGTGGACGGTGATGCAAAGAGTTTCATTGTACAGAGAAACACGTTTCCTAACTGTGCATATGACAAATAAACACTTTGACCTTTGACCTTGTGGCTATTTTCATCTTGTGGTAGCACTATTGCTGCTGACATCTAAATGGGCTGCTATCTCTTCCTCTACCGGTTGTAAATGTTTTAACGTGAAAACACAACCGGAAGTGCGGCTTGTGGTCTTTCTCCGTCTTGACTGTGGGGTTTGGAACTGAGAGGGTCAGGGGGAGGAGAGGCAAGGGAGTGGAGCGAGAAGACGACAGGAGGAGATCCAGCACGGGCTGGCCAGTTGAACCGGATCGTCCACGTACAGCCGGGCTACAAATGAGCCTCCACTCGGGTTGCTCCCGCCGACAACCACTCCAGATCGGATTGTCCCGCTGCGGTCCTGCCGGGGAGCAGAAACAAGAAGATGATCACGGTGAGTTCGTCTTTCCCTCACTGTAACTGGTGCTGTGACACACTACAGGCCGACACATATCACATATGCTCCCTTGTCAGTCAGACGTCTCGGATGTTGTTGCGTTGAACCGTCTGTGCCACCTCTCTGTGATGCACCATTTGCGCCGGAGTGAATGACAGAGCAGGCGGCGGTTGCTGTAAGGCCTCCCCTTCCCCTGGTGATGTTGGCCAAGAATCCGTGGTCAGCGTGTCTGAGTGTGTGGGAAAAGATGAGTTGCATCACAGTGCGTTAATGTTTCTCATTGCAGCTGACAGTGCTGGTGTTGGTACATTCGGAGGTTTGCAGGTCGCATCTGGTAATGCTCCTAATGACACACGTCAGCTGCAGATGTTTTTAATAGCGTTAAAGTCGAACAGCCCAGCTCATGGCTACATGCACACACGGTTTTATAAATGATGGGATTTGAAGTGTTATTCACCGCTAGTCCTCCATCCACGGTCTGATGCTGAGGAATGTGCAGCAGACATAAAATGTTTGTGCGAGTTTATTTAGTACACCAGTCCTGCGCGTTGCTGCTGACTGAAGGACAATTATTAAATAAATAGACAGATGACAGAGGCGTGTTTGTGTCTCTGCTGGAGCTCGAGTGGTTTTATGGTCCGCTGTGGTTGTCAAATAGGCCATGGTGTTATGTAACAAGAAGCCTACGTTGTTTGAATGCGGGCCCTCACGCAGGGCCTGCCTGTGCATGGCACTGAGGCAGAAGTCCACATCGCAAACATGTAACACTACGTGATCAAAACAAGGCCGCAGAAAATGCAACATGTTTACTGAAAGCGCCGGAAACCTTTCATTTCCCTTGAACTGTTGGATCTATTTTAGCATCTGGATAATAACCGAACCATGTTTGAACTGGAACCAGCCCACAGTCAATGACTATTCTCGCTGTGTCAGGCTGTAGCGGCTGTCCAGTTGAAAATGTCCCCTGGGAAAAGGCAGACACCCTACGCCTTTCTTCTCCCTCTTCCCTTCCCTTCCCCTCCCCTCTGGTGGGGGAAACCGGAGAGCACCATGCAAACACACGGAAACGACCGTCAACACCGCGACGTTTGCAAATGGGCACAAGCTGCTCGACCTTGTGTAGGAGTGAGGGACGCAGCGGGGGAGGAGGAGGAGGAGGTGGTGGTGGGAGGGGAGTGTGTGTGTGTGTGTGTGTGTGTTGGGGGGTCGCTTTCCTTGAATCTTGTCGATCCAATGCCTGCTGGGAGGAGGGATACGGTTGGGATGGATACGTGCCACATCCACGCAGGCAACAAATACCATCTTTGCTCCAGCAGTACAGCGGCTCCTTTCCGGCGGAAATGCCGGTCGAACAGGCGGCTGCAGCGGCGGCGCGTCTCTCCGCTGTGTGGAGCTCATGGCGTCTGGAGGCTGTGATATGTGGACGTTTCAAAATCCAACCAGGATCAGTAGCCTTCGTATAAAGACTGATTATACTACATATAGGCAACAATACTGATATTTGTTATTGGTTTAGGGAGAGTGCTTCAGCGCAGATAGGCTATAAAGAGGCTACCAGCTCAGCATAAACACACTATCACAGAAAAGCCCACTTTAAAATATATTTTTTGTTAGGACAGTAACCACAGCTACAGTCTCATAGATGATTACATTCACCAGACTTTTTCGATACCTCACTGTGAGGTATGTGCCAACACCAGTACCCAAACAGACACCGATGCTCTTTTTCCCAAACCTAAAGTGTGTATATCTCTGTGCTTGGACCTCAGTGGGATCATCCTCTGTTAAGGTGACACCAAGGCTTTAAAATGACAGAATGAATGCAACTGATAGCAGAAACACAAAGAACATTATAATAAAACCATCAGTCCCCACCTACCCTACTCATGACCGAGTCCCTGACTGTCGTGCACCCACATTTGCCTTGCATTACATGCAGCAGCAAATTAAGGTCCATGCATTGATGGTAAACCTTTAATAAAAACATTTGATAGTACCTTCTTTAATGTAATTAGTTTTCCTCAAAAATGAGGACAGAATAGACAAAGACAAAGGGAAGCAGCTTGATTTTCTAGTAACTTCCAAACCCATTTAGGTTGTTGCTGTAGGCCTGACATCATAGGCCACCAGTACTGTTTGTTTTAACGTTGTCCTCATGTCCAGCTGCATTTATTTATTTACTTTATTTATTTATTTTTGCTGCTCACTTCCATCACTGTTTGATAATAAATAGAGCTACAGCTTGTTTATCCTCAGCCCCCTCTGGTATGTTAATACCAGAGGCTGTGTTTTTGCACCAGGATCAAATTTAGCAAATTCTGCTTCTGGTTCCACACCTACAAACTATTATTTTTGGGTCATATCCTTCTACCCCACAGTTTCTCCTCTCTATGTGTCTGTTTTTAGAAACAAAATCTCACTTGTGTCTATTTAGGAAATTAGATTTATGTGCATTTAGCAGAAAATATGATGCATTTTATTTCCTGTCAGGTTTGGGCTCAAGGAGCTCTTTGCTAACAAGTTACTGAAAAAGCTAAATGCCAGCCAGGCCTCTTTAATAATATGGGGGTTAGCGTCAGTGGCAGACTGCACAGAACATCCGTACTACTGTCATGATCTGAAGTGTCTCACCTGATGTAACTTTGAGTCATTTATTGCCACAGGTCGATCAGTGCATTGACTTTTCCTGTTTTTCTCTCTACAATCTACTGTATCTGATTTTTCCTCTAGACCCAACAGAAGCCGTGGAGATAGGCCTGGCACTGGAGACCGGTCTCCTCATTAACCTTGATCTCTGAACATTGGCTCTGGCACAAACATCTGGAGCTTTGTGAGGCAACTGCTGTGCCTTCAGACCCCATCCAGTCACTCCCGGCTTGCGGTGTGGCCTTTACAAACCTCACGTCCTCACGTCTTCAAAATTTTGTCCACAGGGATAAATGAGTGAACTGGCTGCAAGGGAAAGGGCTGGGACATGTACCAGAACCCCAACAGGTAAATAACTCCCACAGGTGTGTAGAGGTGGAGCTGGTGTTTAGTCCTGTCATACAGTACTGTATTAGTGCTGCACCTATTCTGTCGTTGTTGCTCTACTGAACGTTCCTCTCTCTGCTCATGCAGAATGTCCTGGTTCAGTGGTTTCCTAGTTGCCAGAGTGGATGACCGCAAGACTGCGTGGGGGGAGCGCAATGGCAAGAAATCCAAGCGGAAGGGAGGCTCATCTCTCTGCAACCCACGTTACATGAGCTGTCTGCGGGACCCAGATGCTATGGAGCCCTCCTCCGGAGCCCCCCTCCATCAGCACCACCGCGGAGGGGTGGCAGGGGCCATGGGAGGCGGGGGCAATTTTGGCGTTCGTTGTGGATGGCAGGAGGATCACTATGGGAAAAGGGGAGGGGCTCCCGGGGAAGGGGTGGGGCTGAAATCCGTCAACTTGGGCTTTGAGGACGGGGAGCTGAAAGGGAGAAAAGGGGGATGTAATGGAGGAAGTGGGGACATGGGCGATGAGGGTCCCAGTGGCGCATCAGGGGTGGTGACAGCTGCAGACTGCTGGCTCAGGGTGGTGCGGGTGTTCCAGTCGAAAAAATTCCAGTCCCGCAAACTGGAGCGCTTGTACCAGCGTTACTTCTTTAGACTGAACCAGAGCTCCTTGACCATGCTCATGGGGGTACTTGTGATCGTGTGCGGCATCATGCTGACCTTTCACTGTGTCCACGCTGCCCCTCACGTGGCCTATGCGTCAGCACTGTCAGTGGCGATGGCACTCTTCATGTCTCTTATGGTAGTGTGCAACCGCAACGGCTTTCACCAGGACTACATGTGGATGGTCAGTTACCTGGTTATCGGCATCTTGGTGCTGGTACAGGTGTTCGGGGTGCTCATGGTGGCACCCAGGAGCGCTTCAGAAGGCATCTGGTGGTCCGTGTTCTTCATCTACATCATCTACACTCTGTTGCCTGTAAGGATGAGAGCAGCGGTGCTGAGTGGCGCCACGCTGTCCATCATACACGTGGTCACCACCTGGCAGATCAACCAGGAAGACAGGTTCCTCTGGAAACAGGTAAGAGAAGCTTGATGTCTGACCGTTTAACTGTGTTGAACTGACTCTGATAGGGTCGAAACAGTTCGTCATTCATTTTCACTTTCTGTTGTGCTATCTCTCAGACAGTAAACTGCATGACCATCATATCCTTCAGCTTTTTAGTGTGAATGAAGGTCAAATAACTTTATTTTATGGATCTGGGTCGATGAGGTTTGCAGCACACAGTTATATGCAGTGGTGGAAGAAGTACTGAGATCCCTTACTAAAGTACAAATAGTAGTACCCCTGTAAACTGCTCTGTTACAAGTAAAAGTCCTGCATTCGAAATGTTGCTTCAGTAAAGGTACAGAGTATTAGCATCAAAACATGCTTAAGGTACTAAAAGTACTCATTATGCAGAATGGCACATTAACATTATTGGATATCATGTTATTGGATTATACCTGATGCATTATTGTGAACGTCACGTTTAATGTTGCAGTTAAAGGGGGTGCTAGTTTTAAGTAGCTTATTTGTTTATAATTTGCAGTACTTTACATACTGCTGGGTAGCTTGTGAATTTTCCACTGGAAATCAATAAAGTCTTATGATTATACTGTAATTTTTTTTTATTAATGTGGCTTTGAAAAGTAACCAGTAACTAAAGTTTTAAAAGTAAATGCAGTGGAGTAAAAATACAATATTTTCCTCTAAAATGTAGTAAAGTCGAAGTATGAAGTAGCGCAAAACAAAGATACTTAAAATACAGATACCTCAAACTTGTACTTAAGTACAGTACTTGAGTAAATGTTGTTAGTTACTTTCCACAACTGGTTATATGTGGAGCTTCAAGGTACAGCAGCTAAGGTTTCACCATGAATCATGTCTTCATAATGGCAAGAAGAGGCTGTGGTGGTGGAGACGTTTATTATGGCTGTGCTCAGTAAATGCCTGAGCATTGTTTATGTTTAGCAGATGACATATTACAAATGCACAATACATCATACTGTAGATACAGTACAGTTGTCTCTCCATCTAGTCAACTTGGTTATTTTCCTTTCTCTGAAACATTATACTGACGCATTATTGCTGTATAAATGTGAAGTGCTCAGCTTCGTCTTTGTGGCTACCTGATGATTGTGTCCGATATTCATTCTCTTTTAGCTCTATTTTTGGTGTCTACCAACTCCCAAGGGAAACATCTGTCTCTTTAAAAGCTCCACTGTTTTCAACGTTTGGGCTTCAAGCTTTGACTCTCTACTGTTTGGTGCCAGACAGTGCAGCACAGCATATAATGGGTTTATCCTATCTTTTTTTTTTTTTTTTTGGTAGAAAACAGCTGCCTCTGAGAGCTGTGAAACAAAACCAGTACACTAATGTGACAGTGAGCTGAAAGATGCTACAACTGAAAACTGAACTTCAGTCAGGTGACGTGTCACTCAGTGTGAGTGTGTCACTACTAGGCTACACAGTCATTTTTCCTGGCGTTAATTTAAAAATTTTCAGTACTGCAGCTTTAAATTTCTGCCAGCCAAGATCCTCAGGTTTTCTAAAGGTGCATTTCTACAGCAGGAGTGTCTCCTGAAAAGCTGCACATTTGTAGCAGTGAATGTTGCTGACGAATCAAGTATGTTTGATTTGATTTATTCTTTCAAGCATGGAAAACAGTTGATATGACAACACACATAATTTTACACATAATCCAATATCAATGTGCTTATACCTAGTACATGCTTGAATGGAGTAGGAAGAAGTCAGACTTATCCAGTCCTACCCCATGACATCATCTTACCATCATTGGTTTGCAAGCAGTAAATGATTCACTTCTACACACACACAACTCACCTATTATACTAAAAAGAATATAACAGTATTAACATTCTTACATCACACAAGTGATATACTAAAGAATGGTTACAAAATATACATCACACCCACAACAGTTAATCATTGAGCCTGTTCTTGCATATATCTTGATTGACACATACCTTTATATTTATGTTTAAACTTGTCAATTCTAGTACTATTTTTTATGTCTACACTTAAATTATTCCATAGTTTTACCCCACTTATGGAAATACAAAATCTTTTTTTGGTTGTACGTATAACATGAATTTTTAAATTTAACTGACCCCTTAAATTGTATCCCCCTTCTCTTTCATTAAATAGTTTTTGAATTCCACCTGGTAATAAATTGTTCCTGGCTTTATACATAAACACAACAGTCTTATATCCCACTAAATCAAAAAATTTTAGCAATTTAGACTGTATGTTGGTGTCTATGCAACATTTTTATGCACCGGACAATGTTAAAAAGCTACAACTGTAAACATGTTGTTTTGCTTGTAGTTTGTTAATTAGGATGGAGAAAGTTCCTGGAGGTTTAGGAGGATAAAGCACCTTTTGATACCAAATATGTCATGTAAGAAATTATACCCTTTTTTTTCACTTAATGTAACAGGTCAAACATATACAAATTTTGCAGGCCTAAAAAAATTTTCATCAAAAGTGAAGTGGAAAACTGGAAACACTGAGGCTGCTCTGAAAACATCTACTTTGCCAGGATATTCACGATGGGCTGATACCATGTGAACTTCAGTAACACAGCCGATGCCGCTGTGTTTTGTTACTGTGCTGTATAAGCATATTTACACGTACTTTGGGGCTTATGGGTCTCGCTCTACAGTGTGTTATTTGCGTGTCATGCCAAGGACCAAGGGGCTTGCTGAAGGTCAATGGACTGAAAGAACCTCCCCAGCTGGATCACTCTCTGAGTGTGTGTGTTGTTTGTGTGACAGTGGGAGAATACTGTGATATAAAGCAGTATCACTCAGGTCTCTGTGTTATCACACAAGGGACGCTTTGTACTTTACTCCAAGGGTGGGGTGACAAGGGTGAGGCCGGGGGGGTGGGGTTGTGCTGTCATGGTTGTCTTACAACGCTTTGTGTCCTTGCAGAAAGTTATAATAGGAAGGCCATTACATGAAAATAGTAAGTGGATATAGGACTTAATCATGAACCACTTTGTCGCTGAGTTGAATGCCATTGCTATCAGCACATCGGCAGCATATCACATGTAGGCTGAATCTGGTGTAATATTGCGATTGTGTAGTACGAGATGAGGTCGGCGTTTCGTGGGAACACAGTAACATCATGCATGATATACCACCGTACAATCCATCAGAGGCTTTAACATTGTTTGCCATCGTCAAGTGAATTAATGTCATGAGATAGCTGCAGCCCAGTAATGCTCCTTGCATGTGTGCTACTGCATGTGACACGGTAATACAGCATCATCAATCACAACTTCATGCTTACAAGCGTTTCCTCTTTCTCCAGTAACTCATTAACCTCACTGTCTTTTTGTTGGTGTTAGCGGATACAGATAATGATGAAGTTGTGTGTAAAGTTGTGATAGGTAAATGTGGATCCTCTTTTCTGTTTGTGTTTTCATTGGCCTCCTATGTTTTCTGGCACTGCAGATTTAAGCAGGGGTTTGTGAAGGAATCTGTGCAGTTGAGCCGAGTCGGGCGGTGACCGCTGACTGGGACAACAACTAGATTCTGGATGTTTGATTTGTGAAGTAATCAGATACTGATTAATCTCCATCCCTGTAGAGTAAACAGTGTTTGTGTCTAGGCTGGCAACTAACCATTATTTCCTTTGCCAAGGCAGAGGTAATGTTTTTATTGCTGTTTGTTCACAGCATAATTCAGAAAGTAATAAATGAATTATGGACTAAACGTTTTGGAGATGGATGGCTCACAGAACAATCCATTACATTTTGGTGCTGATTTGGATCATCATCTGGATCCAGGATTTTTTTTTTTTAAAGGATTCTTCACCATTGTGAGATGGAGCCAGTTTCACTATTTCAACTTGTAACTCCATACACAGTGGCTACGATGCTTGGGCAAACATTGTACAGTGACACACACACATAAGATCTACCAGACACCAAAGTCTGATTTGGATCTAATATTCTGGAAATGGTGATCCAGCATGTTCACATTTATAGGGCTCACAGAAGACTCACTACTGTCAGACAACAACAACGCTACAGACTTGCATAAGGTCACATTCTAGCTGCAATTCTGCTGACTCAGCAGGGTGTCAACGGATGTGACATACTGTGTGCGGTACATCATGTTCAAATGTGTTCAGATGTTGCTGAGCTAGATCATGAAGAAAACCACCACGATATCAATGTGAATCCAAGTGCTATGGGGAGGTTTTTATGGTCAAGGAATCACATTATGAGGGTCAGACTATCATGGGAATATTTCCTGTAGGTGGGATGGCTTTATGAAGACCGTGATCTGCTTTGGTGGAGGTTTGCGCTCTTAGTGCTGTCTGTTTTTTTTTTTTGTTTGTTTTTTTAAATCAATTAATCTGACAAAAAAATTGGCAATGTAATGTAAAAAAAAAAAAAAGGCTGTTAAAGTCTTCCTATAACCCAAGGCAACGTCTTCAAATTTCTTTCACCTGATGGTCTTTCTACTGTCTCTGAAATGTTTATTCACCCCTTGAGGGATGAATAAAATACTTAGCCTAAATTTAATATATTATAAGGTTTAGTATTTACAAACTAGAATTCTGGTTGTTTCCTATTTGGTCATAAAAATTTATCTTGCAGAGATATTTCTAACAGAGTTGTCAGGGGCTTTAAAGGTGAAAGGCCTTCGCATTATCTACTTTCATTTTTTGTCACAATCAAGGCTTCTATTGTTGTTTATATTGTCCTGAAAGAGACTTGAGAGTAAAAATGCCACCAAATAACCTGAAATCTTGTTACAAATGTTATGTTTGTGCATGAAAATGAGCATTAGAAGTTTATTTTGTTTAGGATTGTGTGTCGTCATTAACATAATCTGTCATGAGATGCTCCTCGGTGTCTTGATGCGGTTTGTTTGATACATGGCGACTGTTTTCATGTTCGGCTCTTAAAATGTATGGCCCCCATTCCCTTGAAACACATGCAGGTTATTTTTTGAGCTGTCTTGCTTTTGACTTTCATTGGTGTGTGTGTGTGTGTGTGT